TAAAACAAGGGATAATACGTTGTACAGCGTCACGGAATGCACGGTGTTGGGGGGGAATGTACGCTAGAATATTTGCACGCATGAACATCCCACGGAGTCCCAAGGAATCTGCAACAGAACTAGTAAAACTAATCACTTCAAGTTGAGGTACCTTACGTTGCTTGACCAAAGGAGGGGGGAAAGTCGCGAGGTATGCATTGCGTAGTGTCTGGAACGCTAAGTGCACATCCTCTGTGATACCCACCTGCCCTACATACCTAATCATGCGCAGCATGTTTTTAGGGGCTAGCGCTTTGATGTATAGGCATCGACTTTATAAGGCTTGTACTGAATCAGCTTAGCAAGGTACTGTATTCGTCGTTTCCAATCACGGGACCGGAACATCCTCTTCTGGCAATCCCCATTCGATGTAGTCTTGCGTGCTTCGTGTCTAGACCGTTTGATCGGTCGCGTACCAAAACCATGCGAAGGCAGACCAGGACTAGGGGGGCATGCAATCTCTCTCTTGGTATTGTAGCCATTTCTAACAGTGTCCATGCATGCGATCCATGAATTCTCCCTCTGCCGCCAGTGCAATAGTGCACCATACCTATGGCCTTCCGGCAAGTAACGGGGAAGTGTCTCGAGTTCGAAAACCTTTTTCTTTCCTCCTCCTTTGGAGCCCATGTTTCACACGTGGGTTGTAAAGATAGAACGCTTCGGCGAACGCCAATCAATATGGAAGCCCTCTACTCTGGCTGAGTAGAGAGTCCGGGAGTGTGGTGGCTATGTCCTGCCACCGGAGGTTGGCTATTTCCTTTGGTGCAATATGGCGAGGAATGCCAAGCGTGACCGAGCGAACTCAGTCAAGCTAGGGTGGCGAGGAGAGTGGGCGAGCCTTCGTGGACCCTTTTCCCATTCTCCTAAATATTCATCAACTCTTCGCAGCCGTTGGGAATCGTAAGAGTCATAGACCCTCGAAGAACGGTAATCTATTATCACGTATCCTCTCAGATCCTACTCTTTATGTACGTGTATCTGTGCTCCCTGAATCTTCATATCCTGACCTCCACATTTTGCAGGGATGGTGATTTGAGTCCCAACAACCCAGGTTGTTATTCAGTGACAATCAGCCACTAAATAAGAGGGCGATTTACACGGAGGCATTTGTCACGGCCGGCAGGCGACCTCCATGGAAGCTTGAATAATTCTATGAAAGGACCTTCAAGCCATGGAAGTCTTAGACGATGATGTCTGCCAGCTTCTATGGAAACACAGCAAATTCCATGGAGGTAGGACAACTTTCAAGAAAGCAGGATCTACGGGAGGGCTCGTCGACTGTGCAAGATAACCTCCATGTAAGCAAGCCAAAGTCCATGGAAGTCATACTCACGGCGACGTCCATGGAAGATGTATCGTGGGATTGCATCACCCGAGCCCAGCGTCCATGGAAGTCATCACGAAGGACTTTGATGGAACCTTGCACGAGAATTTCAATGGCCATCGTTCACGAAGATGCCCGCTTCCATATGGAAGCCATCGTCAACGATTTACCAAAAAACCTTATACAAACATAAAATAGACCCGAAGTAGAGCAATAAAATTCGACAACACGGCAATATACCGATGGTCGCAAGGACAAAAACATGAGTCGCACTACAGACGAGTTCAACCGTACTTTAAAACAGATAGCAAAGAGTCATAGGAGACAGAGAAGGATCTTGAACCGGAAAAAAAGCTGACAAAGTCAAACAGGATTTCCACCACGAAAAACACGAAGAATCAAAACAATAGAGGGAATCCACGTGTTGTTGAAATGACGTGAAAGATTGACATTTCAGGAAGTTTTGACGTGAAGAGGTTGCGCCGCTTTTTTGGGGGCAAACTCTGACGGCGAAATTTTTGTGAGGAAGCGTCAAAATTAAATTTCACCCATTAAACCGACGCGAAAAGATTGACGCTTCAAACATCGCCAGACTGTGGCTCACACACGCTTGCTCTGCTGCGGTCTGCTGTGCGCGGTCAGCAGCGAACACATTGGCCATGCCTATACTGATTGCTCCTAGCGGTCCTGCACCCACGCGTCTCGGCAGTTCTCACGGCGGCCAAGTGGCCAGACGCGCGTGTTCGGCGCGCGCGTTCGGTAGATGCGCCGTCGCGATTGCGCACGGGCTTTCAGCAGCAAAAAGGGGCATAGGCAGGGGAGTGATGGGGGGAGTCTCGCCCTCGAAGGGAGCACATGGAGAGGAGTAAGGGAGGGTACACGGACTTTGCCAGTCAGTAGGTGCATTTCGCCCGCCCCCTCACGGGGTTCGGTGCTCTGCTGCCGCAGTGACATCGGTATATACACAGCAGTGCAGCGAGCAGCTGCCTTACTCATCAGCAACGAACGGCAGTTTGACGCCTGGGAAGTCGCAGTTTGACGCCTGGGAAAAGTCGCCGCGGCAAAGGAGGGAAGGTCGGCGGGATGAGGCGAAGGGGTACACCTAGTCTCCTGGGAGCCTGGGGGTGTGAGTCTTCGCTTCGGAATGTCGACCCTGGGTGGCAGCCCGAACCAACCTTGAACTCTACCTCCACCATTTTTTTTTTTTCACCTCTCACGTGTCAACGGGCACACGCGGTGCGAATTTTTCCCGTCAAAACCCTCAACCGTCACTTTATGTTGGCGTCAATCCTCAAAGGTCAAAATTCCGCGTCAATCCATATGTGGATACCCTATAATATGCTTTGAATTTTATCTCGCAGGTTAGAACATGCAGGATTGTATGCATATAATGGATCGTTCGTGCCAGCGCCAAGACACACGCTGCCTTATCCCCACGCAACAACAGAGTGCACAAGCTGCTGGTGATGCTGTATATGGTAGACTCTTATGGACGTGGTAGCTTGCGGCTCGCTCCATTCTTTGTCGTTCTTTGTTTTCCAAGATGCTTGGCCTGCCATGCAGTACACTCCACAACAGCTACATATGGCCAACAGCTAGGCTCCAAATTAAACAAGGGCCACTATCAAAAGATAAATATGTTGTCGAGTGGGTGACAAAACTCCAACCTGATCCTCAAACCTGAATCATTGAAGTATTTAGTCGGGTTGCCGGAGTCGTGTGGCCGGCATCCCTGCAACAGCTAATGTTCGCGCTAGAATTCAACCAACCCATTGCTGAAGTCGTATGGCCGGCCTCCCTGCAACAGCTATTGTTCGGGTATTGCTTCAACCAACCCATTGCCGGAGTCGTGTGGCCGGTGTTCCTGCAAAAGCTATCGTTCGGGCATCGTTTCAGCCAACCGATTGCTGAAGTCGTGTGGCCGGCGTCCCTGCAACAGTTGTCGTTCGGGTCGAGATTCAACCAACCAAATGCCGGAGTCGTGTGGCCGGCGTCCGTGGAACAGCAATCGTTCGGGATACCACTTTAACAGACCCGTTGCTGATTTCGCGTGGCCGGTCTCCCTGCAAAGTGTGACGCAGCTGACCTATCCGGGCACACGTCTGCATTACAGGGGTTGAGAGCAAACTGCGCGTGGATGCCGTATCGTTGTTTGGTCCACTATCTCGATGACAGCAAAATGGCGAAACGTCAGTCTGCGGTGTTCCCGCGGCTCGCCCGTATCCACTACAGTCGCTCTTCAGGCACACGGCCTTTCTCTTATGAGCCCTATTCGCAAAGAATCGGGTTGATTTCATGTCGGCCAACGGTTGTCTCGATAAACGGGTCAAACCAGTGCCGCAACAGGGGACGGGGAGCACCTTTTGCTGAGAAGACCTTTTTTACGTGTAAGAACGAAAGAAGCCGAGGACGACAGGAGCTTTGGGCGTACGGCAGGCGATATTTTCATGCCAGAGAGTATCGCAGGTCACTTTCACTCCCGAATGTAACCGCTCACTGGGCAGTTTTCTCACACTGACCAGGCTCGTCATAGCATGCTTGTATAATGTGTCGACGCTCCAGGTTGTCAATGAAACGATCAGATGCGTGACTTGACACGTAGTAGGGGCTGGCCTCCTCCGCCAGCGGAAGTAGTAGCAGATGCTTGTCGGGGGGAGGATTCGATAGCGAGCTCAAAAGCTGGCTCCGCTATGTAACTGTAAACTGTATGCATGTGTTCGGGTCTATGCCGTGTCGTGTGGACAACTAACTGCCGTGTTGTCTGTCTCACCTACACAGCCAAGCCGACTTCGTGTCGATGCTGGGTAAAATAGTCGCATCTCCTACCTTGGTCGACGATAATGTTTTCAACGTGCGTGGGTTTTCTTTTACTCAGCCGCGCAAGCGTGAACGGCGTACAAGTACCTACGAGGAGCGACCTCTGGAGACAGTGCCCGATGCACCTGCATTGAATATTTATTGCGACGAACGTCGTGGGATCTCATGTTTATGTTCCGTTCAAGATTGGCAAAACTTGGAAGCCTAGGAGAGCTATCACAGACACACGCTGATACCCCAAAACACGCATGTGATGCGGCAAGTGTCGTTGTCCCCAACCTAAGCCTGCTGTCAAAAGCAATGGACGCTTTGGTACTGCCCAGTGAGTCCTTGTCCTTTTCGTCCCTTAGAAACAAAGTTGGCCATGTCCAGTGCCGCTGCCGGAGTGTCATCTCTCTTTTCGCCTACGAAAGAAAACACCACACACTTGCATCGCAGAGGAAGGCCTGGGGAGTGGGAGGACCAAGACAGAGGGCATGATGAATCGACCCACGGTTTCAACAAGCTGCTCCCATGCGGTGCGTTGCTCTGAGCAAAACCACAGCCGTCTGGACCTGAAGGCAACAAACAACGCCATGTGATTGGGGTGCTTTTCCGAGGAACATTCTATTGCACTACGTGTACCACCTGTTGCCTGGCAGGCTACGCATCACCATCTCGCCCTCTCCCCTCAAAAAGGCAAAACCAACGTGGCTCTAATCTCTTCTGCTGCCTCCTCTGGGGCACATCAACAATCAAGCAGTCGCCGAGTCACAGACAAACCGCCGCAACCCCAACACCTCCCGAATTTCACGCTGCACAGCGTCGCGCTCCTTCAGCCTCATGGTGTGTTCACCGAAGCAGCAGATACCCCCGCCCCCGACAATTTCTTCCCCAAGGGGTTCGTCTCCAGAGTCTCCAACGCGTCAGCTGGGAACAGCTCGCACTGCGCCTTCTGCTGCATCAAGACGTCCGCGAGGACTAAGGCAACCATCGCCTGTGAACCACACCAAGGACATACCAACAAGGGGACGGAAAGGGTACGGGAAAACTTAAACATCTTCATGCTGGCGGCTTTCGGGGCAAGGCATAATACTCGGGAGTGCGGACAGTGGATCGCCATGAGAACTACAAGTGAGCAAGGTGCAAGTACAAGAGTGCAAGGTGCAAGTACATTGCGCGGCGTCACCGTGATGGCACCTTGAACAGAAGGGTAGGGGGTAGGAGGGAGCACGAGTCCGCGAAATCCACGACTTACTGAGGACGGCCAACAGCTGAGACACTTGAAACCCGTGGGGTTCTCGAGACCGTGTCGGAATTCCTCCGAGGTGATGAGACTGGTGGAGGTCAACCGAGTAGAGACACGAAACTAACTCGTTTCAACAGTGCACGTCGACTCGAAGCGCGACACCGCCGAACTTACCTCGACCATGGGAGCTGCCCGAGGAAGAACGCAGGGGTCATGGCGACCCTTACCCCTCATGGTCGTCTCCTCTCCCCCCCTCGTGACCGTATTTTGAAGCTGCCCGATGGTGGACGTCGGCTTGAATGCCTGATGACAAGCGATTTTGTGGGGTGGACAGAACGGAAGGAGAGACCGATGCAGTTGCGTGTGCTACAGGCGAGAAGGAAGCAGCACGCAGTTCTGCAACACGACGCACGACGGGTCGAGACTCGTAAGTAAGTCTTTGTCGTACACGGGGGCTAAGGGGGGTCACAACGACACAGATGCCATCGCCATCTCCACGCCATTGCCACTCGACTCTCACCACTCTAACCACGATCGTCTCCCCGTTGCTGATGCCCCCCTGAACTCCCCCGCTGCGGTTTGTGCGCGTGCGCGTTTGCCCTTCCTCGTCCACGTAAAACTCATCGTTGTGGGTCTTCCCCGACAGGAGGGTGCCAGCGAAGCCCGATCCGATCTGACCGATACGGTGCGCCGACATTCGAGCAAGGTGTAGGGATAGGTTTGACTTAGAGCAGGACGTACATATCCGGTGAATACCGAGAAGCCCATCTCTACAGTAACCCACCCACGTGGGGACCCTGTACCGAGCGTACGGCACATGACGATGCGTGTGAATGAGTTCGTTTCTCACGAACGGGGTGTAACAGACGGCGCAGACGGCGCAGCCAGACGCTCAAAATCATGCACATCCCTCCAGGTTACGAAACGAAAAGAGGGAACGGGGTACCTAGCAAATGACGCGGTGCATGAAGCTATGTTGGTGCCAAGAAACATTCTACTGTACCCGTCCCTCAAAAACCGCTCTTGTGCTGTCCCTCCAACATATACCCAAGCGGTGCCAGCCATACCTGTTGGCACCATTCCCGCCCCTTGGAACATGCAGAGCTATATGGATCCCTTCAAATTTTAGACGCGTGCGTTAGGAGTCGTGCGGTACACAGCTATTCCTGCCTGGTCGATGAGACATCTCGACCGCAGGATGGACAATATGAGATACAAGGCCTGCCCCCCAGCGTTTTACCACCTCCCCTCCGCACTGTGCCAAAACAAGCGCATGGAAAAAACCACGCCTCGCTCACCTCGAAACCTTTGCTGGCGGGGAGTGACATGCATGCCTTCGCCAACTCCGCCTCAAGCTTATCGAAAACTGGCGACCCAAGGCCGGAGGGCACATTTCTCGCCACGCACTCCACGACTCCCCCGATGGAGTCTCCCGTCCTTCTGATCTTGTCGATGCGTTCGATCATGCGTTCAGCGGCTTCTTCGTCAGGGCAACGCACGATGTTCGCCTCCACCTGTTCGTGTCAGACGGGGTTGGGTTTGTCGAGGGGTACTGTTGCAGGAAGTTTCGTGCTCTCGTGGAGTCGTAGACAGCAATACGAAGGTCAACATGAGATTCTGTTGCTGTAACGGTGACCATTCATCCTCTAACTACCATCGATGCAAGTTGAAGCACAACGCAGATCATTTGGCTCCGCAGCATGTTTGCAGTGCCGACGAGCAGCAACATATTTTACCACTGACCTGCTCTCGCGTGAACGTCTCCAAGTCCACATCTTCGGTGCCCACGTCTTGCACAGCCTTGACGTAACCCAGCACCTCGCACCCGGAGTACAGGCTCAGCAACTGAAAATCATGAGCGTGCCGCAAGATTGTGAGATATCAAAAACGAGGCGCGTCCCACCGGCCAAGCGCACTTTAGAGTTTGAAAAGGCTTCCAAAACATGAGCCCCACGTAGTAAAACAAACACAGCCAACGCCGTCATGCTGAGCTGATATCCCTGGGACCAGAGCAGGCTACGCCTTTCGTGTCAAATCTCGGAAAGACAGGGAGGGGGTTGGCTGTTGTTCGAGGCGGGGAACGCACACTTTGAATCTATGTGCAGACAGACAACTCACAAGCATTGGTCGAACCAAGTATTAGTAGTACCCGGCAGTATGGACAACGCAGCAACAGAAGCAGGCGCTTCAGCGCCAACAAAGAAAAAATCAGCAGCTCAACACTACGAACGAGCACCGGCGAAAGGCCAAACATTCCAAGAGCAAAAAACGAGCATGGGTGGTTGCGGCAGTTATCTGCACAGTGGACAATAAAGCATGCATGCATGGAACTACGTCTCCTCCGCTTCGGCTTGCAGTCCACGGTACACGCCAGAGAACAAGAACATGACGAGGCCGTCAAAGAAGCGCAGCTCGCACCTTCCGTGCCACCGCCGCCGCCGCGACCCTGCCGATGGTCTCGCGTGCGGAAGATCTGCCGCCCCCTGCCACTGCCCTGATGCCGTACTTCGCGTCGTACGTTGCGTCCGCGTGAGAGGGGCGGTACGCCATCGACATGGTGTCGTAGTCCTGGCTGCGCTGGTCCTATGTAGAGGAGGCGTTTCACGGCACGGTGAACCAAAGCACGGGAGAAGCGGAGGAAACGAAAACAACAACCGAAAAAAAGGAATCATGGTGAGAGGGCGAGCCGAAGCGATAAAAACCAGACGGTGATACCTTCATCGGACAACGCATAGAAGAGATGCCGCGAAATGGCGAGCATGAGCTGGCAGGAACCCATTTGTCCAAAGTGTGGACAAGAATGGATTGGCTCGGAGTGAACGTCGAGCGCGCAAAAACACACAGCAAAAGGCACAGTTGCAAAAAAGGGCACCTTTATGAGTCGGTGCGGTACGGCGAACAAACGTCGGGGTTGCTTCTACAGAAAAACTCGGCATGTGGACCCAGTGGTATTAGGCATCTACTTCAAGATCCCGCACAAATACCTTGACAAGCTTACGATATCACAACGTCTGTTACAGCAGTCCCACCCAATACCGCAAGAGAACAACACAAATACGTCGCTGCCAAAAGACGATCGCGGCGGTTCTTTTGGAACATCGCACCTTGTTACGAACAAGCATCGCGATGGGCGTCCCCAAGGTCAAGCCTTCAGGAGAGAGGCCAGAGAGGATCTCCACTTGGTCGTCCTCGTTTCTTGGGGTGGTGATGCGCGACTGTCCCGGCTTCCGTCGGTCCAGCTCTGCACAAGCACACCGTAAGATGAGAGCGGATTCAAGGGGGTGAGGTACGTTCGGCAATGACATTCGTCAATACAGTACAAAGCTTGTAGGAACAGAGTACGCACGCGCACAGGGTCGAGTTGAAGGTAAGCAAAGGCAGCAGCGGGTGAGCCATGTGAGGCAGCATATCGCATCGGAAGAAGAGAGCCAAAGAATGGTTCTAACAGAACGAAACAACAGCGTGTTTGCGAGAGTCAGGAACAACGCCATCAGCATGCAGAAATACATCGTGTGGCAGCAACGCCAGTCACTGCAACGTGAGCGATGGTGGCGTCTTCCCTCGTGCTACAACGGGTTCAAAACGACACGTGCATACGTGCACCTGGGTCTGCCCACTGCGCTAAGTGTGCCTCTGATGCAAGCTGGTCTACACCGGCAAGGCTCACCCGTGTCCCAAAAAAGCCGCAATTGTATCTACTAAAGCATGGCCTGCTGTTGCTGCACGCTTTTGCCTTACTCGGAAACAAAGAAACAAACGTCTTTACGCCGCGTCTCGTTGGATGGGACCTGCTGGAACATGTTTTTCGGGAACGGTCGAATACGAGCTGCCTTTTCGGTAGGTGGTAATCATGGTACGAGCTACATACATGCGTTGGAATGTCGTGGCTGTATTGGGGGCACCCGATGTAAGCTACTGCTGTAGGTGCTCGCGGTACGTCCCACATCTGTCGTCTAGCTAATTGCGCCGCATTGCGATATCCATCAATTGCACGGCGGTCGGTCGCTTTACCACCGTGCTCAACAGCAGTCGATAGGCAATCCATCTCGGATCCTGCCAAAGCCAGCAAAAGAAGGCGAGAAGACGCTACTTGCATCGCACATGCGTACTACGTGTCGAATAGCTACGCGAGGAGCGAGCGCCAGCAACAGAGTCATGTTCATGAAACCCTTCGAGGTTTGTTCACGAGGTTGGGCATGTAGCGCATGATCGGGCGTTTGGCAACGGTACTCATCAGGCATACATAACAGAGATCTTCTCCTACCCACCAGAGACAAAGCAGCACAGCGGCTGCGTGGTTCCTGTAGAACAGCAGCGCACCTGCCAGTAGCTGATAAAGGTGTAGACTACTGTAGACAAACACATGACAAACGCCTTGCACGCAACTGCAACCACATGCTTGGCGTGCCTAAAGCTGCCGCCCCAAGAGAAGCCCAGACGCAACGAGCACAGCAGTCGAACACGCACCGACTTGAATGTCTTGCGCAGTAAGCGGTATCTTCGGTGGGCACCCGTCTAGGTTGACTCCCACCCCTCCCCCGTGGCTTTCTCCCCAGGTGCTGATGCGGAACAGGCGCCCAAAGCTGTTGCCCATGCCCATGGTCGTCGTCGTGCTTTTTGCGCCCATGCCCACTCCGAAAGCATAGGTCTCGCTACTCCATAACGCTAGCGTCGCCACCAATGTCAATGCCAGGCCATTGCTGGGATTAACTCGCCGTGACATCTTCGCTATGCTTGTGTGCTTGGCTGTGTGTAGCACGTTTTACACGCGCACTGACCAAAGCAGCCGGCCAGCACAGGCCCGCCCGCCGCCCGCAAGGCAAGGGGATCCGCCCCATCATTCTACAACTTGTACGGGGTGTGTGTTGCTTTCATCATTTCACGGAGTTCCTTTTGCCGCCGTCATGCAACAGCAGCACCAGGTGTTCATTGCTGTGTTCATCGCCACAGCAGACCGACAACAAGGCAGGAGAAGCTTGTGTCGGCTCACCAAAAGTTCCAGAGGGCGGAAACAGGGCCTGTGCTGGCGCCGGTGCCCCGGGGAAGGAAGTGCTTAGGCGAAATAGAGGCTCTCCTTTTCATCCCTGCGTACACTTGTTGCAATCGGAAGCAAGAGCGATGACTTCTCTATTGAAAAAAGCTGGCCTGGTGTTCGACGAGAACAAGGTGAGGTACCGTAGACAGGATCTCGCATCAACCCTCGACTTCGCTTGAGGATGTATACGCGGTTGACGTGTATGTTGCAAAAGTTCACCATTTCATTTCGTTGTTCGACGTTGTTGATCTCATCATCAGTCCAATTTTGCGCGGCGGTCCAATGCAATCAAACCCGGTGTAACAAATTCTCAAAATCTGATCAACAGGCCTCGTTTTCGCGTTTTCGTGACGGAGTGCATGTTTCCCTGGGCTCGGCTTACAGCAGTAGTAGCACATGGTAGAACACAGTTTTTTTTGCGGGGTACCAGTGGTACGACATCAAGTTTGACTCCTTCTGTATTCTGTATCGTATCGTGTGTATGCAATGATTCACCGACAACCCGAGATTTCCATCAACAAAAAAAGTATTTTTAAGCAACAAACAACGGTGCGGAATTTCCTGGGAATTTCGGGAACGGTCTGTGAATTCAAATTATTTCTGCTTCTTTCGGATAAATTTGAACTGCATCTGTGGATGACCCCCCCAGTATTGCTTAGGTGTCCTCAACACTTGCGGACGATCAAAATTGTGGGGACCGAATCCTGGCCTGACGCCATGTAGTTCAAGCCTTGTTCGTGATGACGCTGAACGTCTCGGTCCACACTCTTAACAGCTCAGTGTTGAAACATTTAGTATTTAGTATAGTAACATGGATTTGACAATGTTACTACGCCAGCACACAAGTATTTCATCCGGGCACCGCCGTGCTGCTGCGCATGTTTGGGACGACACGACAGGTGAAGCCGTTCCTGAAGATGAGCATCACAAGGCTGAACCTACTCGTCAACAAGAAGGCGAACCACAGTGAGTACTAAGACGCAGCCTCGGGAGATTACCCCAGGGCTCCAACTGGCGCTTGCCAATATAACTCACACTTCTACAGCAGAAAACTACAGCAGCAGCAGTAGTCATGACAGGACAGAGCTGAGAAGGTTTGGGTAGAACAACAAATCACGATGGAAGGTGCAAAGCGCGAAGACCGGCGTCTCCTGCCTGGTTCGCTTATTCTACGCGTGGGAGGCAGCAGCAACAGTTCCAACTGCGCAATGTACGGCAAAACAAGGGTTTCGCTTGACACCGGAGTCATCCTGTTTCAGGGGAGCGCTCGCATGGCTTGTTTCCCCCCCCGATCATCCATCCCACCCGATACGATTGCCCCCTCTGCTTGGCGGTGATTTTCCAGTCAAGATCAGCAAGAAGGAGATCGCTAGGCTGCTCGCCGATGGAAAAGAGGAGAAGGCGCGCATCAAAGTGGAACAGGTGTGTCCTTCCTGTGCCGACTGGCGACCAAACCTGCAAAGGCGGGCGTTGGCAAGTGTAAGAGTGGTGGAGGTGCTGCAACAAGGGTCGTGCGACGTTCGGCCCATCGATTTTTTTGTCTTGGACCTGACCCGTCGCGGCATTGCCGAATCATCAGCCCGTAGCTGAAGCGAGGGAAAAAATGAAAACAAACTTAGTCGTTGTGCCTGTTCGGGGCAGGGCGTATTGCTCACATCGCCGTTCAGCTAGTCTTACGCAGCCCCATCATGAGCCTACCCGTGGCCTTGTTGTGTGCGCTGTTCGCGAATACCAGGTACTACTGCTTTATTTTTGTGGGCACCAATTCTGATGCTATTAGAGCCTTGACAAAACTTGGAATACTTCGATTGATTTTACCTTTTGCTCTCCCATTTTTTTCGTTCTATCCGAAAAGGTCATTCGAGAGGATTTCACGATAGAAGCATACGACGTTTTGGAGCTGCATTGCGAGCTGGTGGCGGAGCGCATGCGTCTGGTAGCGTCTCAAAAAGACGTCCCCCCGGACATGGAGCAGGCGGTGTGCACCATAATCTGGGCGGCAGACCGAGCAGAGGTAAGAAGGAACGAACCGCTGACAGCAGTCGTTCGCGTTATCATGACAACTTTTTCTATGTGTTGCCGGCTTGGAGCACGACGACCATCGCTTACCTCGCAAGCAAGCTGGCCAGCATGAGATTGTCGCCATTGATTGTTTGCCGCAAGCACGCAGCGCTGCCTTTGGGTGGAGACGTGTGTGGAGGCTTTTGCTCCTTCTCGCCGTCCTTGCAAGACCTGACGAACGGGAAGGCATGTTCTCAAAACCCTCCTGGTGTACCTCGTCGCGCGGCAACACATGGGGGGACCGGTGTGTCACTGCAAGGTCTTCCTGCAAGCGTAAAGTGACCTGTGCCTCGACAATCTTTGCCGTTCTGGTGCCTAAAATGTCGTGCGCCGCGTATTTTCAAACACCCATGTCATGAATATGTAGATCATGGATCAGGCTCTTGGGATTCCCCCCTCTCTGTGTTACCAGCAGTATATCCACACGGTAGCCCGGTGTGTACACCCTTCGTGTTGCTGTTTGCCTCGCACGGGTTGTGGGCGCACAGGTTTCGGAGCTGTCGACGGTGAAGTCTCAGTTCGTCAAGAAGTACGGCAGCGAGTACGTGAGGTTGGCTGAGCTGAACGAGGGCGGCTGCGTCAATCCGAAGGTGGTAGAGAAGCTCGACTGCCAGCCTCCCTCGAGCTTCGTCGTCACGGTGAGTGCGAGACTTGCACTACCACGCAGAAGAGGGCGAAGTGGACGGGGATGTTCTCCGTCGAGCACCGTCCTAACTGTGGGTTTGGAATTTTAGAACTGTCACCCAGAAGGGGTTGAGGTAGACGGGGGCGGGCGCTCCAGGGCCCGGCTTGCTTGCGAGCCAACTCGGGTGTCCATTGTGTTGTTTTCTATGTTGCCGTTCGGAGCTTGGTTTGACTGCTGTGCTTTTTAGTGTTGGATATCGATTCAATAATAGATTCGATACGATATCGCGCGTGAAGTGTCCGCTGATAGCGAGCGAAGCGAGCCGGCGACCACTGCGAGCTGACGCGCGAAGGCGCGGAAGCTCGCTGTGCGAGCCCAAGCGGCCCCCCCCGGCTGGTGAGGGGGCCCCGCTGGAGGCGCCGCCGGAGGCAAACAAATTGGAGCAATTTCGCTTCATTTCCTATCAAAATTACCCGCAAATAGGCCTCCGAAACCTACCTGCCGTCAGTGTACAGCCAGCTGCTTGAAAAAACAATGTGTAGACTATGTGGGTAATAGTCTATCTACATCTACACCGAGAAATGAAAATCATATTTATCAGTTGATTATTCTACACTGCTGCTCAAGAAAGCTCAGCGGTATCGCACGCCGCAACACAGAAAGCAAGCTTGCTTGTCGCAGAAATGCAAAGCTCTCACAACAATGAGAGATAAATGGCACAATAATGAGAGATAATATAAATGGATAGTAACTGCAGCTACTTCGTTGAATGCGCGCATTTCACTGCGTGCGCACACAGTGCGGCTGCTGTGTGCTGTGTGGTGTGCAGCTGTGGGGGTTCCGTGTGGAACATCAGGGGTTCCGTGGAGTATTTATCGATTTATCGTATCGATATCGAAATATCGAAAAGTTCAAATGTTTTCGATATCCGATATCGATACGATAAATCGATACGATATATCGAAAAAATCGATACGATATCCAACACGAATTTCGACTTTGTTGCCGTAGTTTCGGGAGGCACGATGTTAGTTTGTTTTTTGCCATACGAAAGACCTCCCGTTTCACAGTCCTTTACCTGTTTGTATATTAGCGCTGCTCCGCTCCAGTCCCTAGCCCACTCCCACTTGTTCGTTACATACATCCTATACTACGTGTGCTTGGCAGGAGTACCTCCTGGGAATTGCGGAGGAATACGACGTAGAGTACACCCCCGCTGCCCCGATCCGCCGGAAAAGCTCGACCGACCGTGAAGCTGCCGCAGCTGCAGCGGCGGCCTCAGGCCCACAGCCCGCGTACCAGGTACCAAGCAGTCGAAGGCCAAGCTCTGGGGGCGGGGACGGGGGCGGGGGCGGCGGCGGCAGCACCGTTCCTCCCGGCGGAGGCGGGATATCGTCCCCTCCCCCAGTAACCGCCTGGGCGCTTCCGCCTTCGGACGGGATTCCGCTCGCCACGGCTACGCTGTCGCCGCAAAACTCGTTCGGTGGCGGGGGGGCGGCGGCGGGCGGCGGCGGCAGTGCGGGTTGGGACCCGTCGGCAGCAGCAACGCCGGCGGACAGGTATGTGCCGGGTGAGAACGAGAAGGGACACTACCGGGATACGAGCGGCGGCAACAACCCCTACCGACGGGGCAGCGGGGGGTTCGCGGAAGCGACAAGCGGTTGGGGGCCTTCGGACGCAGGGCTCGACGCAGGCGCCGGCGCGAAGGGGGAGGACGCCCCGCCCCCGTACTCTCCTCCGCGAAAAGCCACCTACGACCACAACGACATCCCCTCGCCGCCGAAGGCGAGACCCATGCCTTACGACATTCCTGCGGCACCCGGGTAAGGACGGTGTATAGGGCAGGGAGCATAACAGAGAGGTCGCCCCGGTGGTCTAGTGGTATCCTCGGAACCCGCTGGTCTCAAAGGTCGTGAGTTCGAATCCCCATGGGGTGAAAATTCACAAAATTTGCGGGTGAAAGCGAAACATATACGTAGCTGAAAAGCTTTTCGAAAGTTGAACGTTAGCACCGTTGACGAGGGAGAGGGACGGCTGGACCCTTCTCGCGATAAAAATATAATTCAGCACGCACCGCAGGAGGAAGGTGGGGCACGAAAACATATACAAGGAAGAAAAAAGCCCTGGTGTTCACCCCTTCCTGTGTGACCCTGGATGGTTGTAGTTGTATGAAAAACTACACTAACAAATGTAGTACTCTACATACACTGAAAACTGTAGTACACGTCTCACCACGAAAAATGGGGGGACTGTCACCGTAATAAATAGGACGAAAACAAAACAACATTCATACATATTTTCAATTTTTTTGGCAGCATTGCGTGCAACCGCCAGGACGATTTTTCTTCCTTGGCGTCAGGATGTGCAGACAGCGAAGTCTGCTGCCGGTCCCTATGTTTGTTGGATGAGCGCCGCTCAACTTGAACCCTTCTGATGGTTCCTGTCCCACTCATATTTGGAATGTCTCTTCTTACTGGCCGAGCGGTCTGCCTCTACGCCGCCTTTTCGACACATTCTCTCCCGAAAACCTAGGTACGAAGACAAGCCAACGAAGCCCGACGCGGGGGACGACAGCAGCAGTGGTCCCGCCGCACCCTCCGGAGGCGGCGACAGTGAACTTGACGACCTTGCGGCAAGGTTCATGAACCTCCGCAAGTAACGTTCGCCATGAAATAATTAGCGGGGTCGACGGCTGTTATTCTTCTCTGCATTGGCCGTGTCTCCTAAGCCATAGAGCCGAACAGCCGGGGAAGCGTCAGTTTTGAACACGCACTCAGACGGATGATCGATGGGTGCATTCGTTTTGGGGATTGGGGCTCCCCCCGCGCTAGCGTTTTGCTTCCAAACCCATGTGAATGATACATGTGTCCTGGATATGTGAGCAGGATCGAATGGCAGGCGTTTGGCTTGGACGGGAAACAAAGAAGCTGGCGAGCGGGGCTGGTGTGTTTTTGTATGTCCAGCACGTTGCTCGATCTTGAGGGCGGCACATGTGGCGACGGGGTTTGCACCACTATACTTTTGGTTTGGCAGTCGGATGTTTCGCCAAGGTGGCGCATGTTTGCCTGTCGGGTATCGAGCCGCCGTTATTTGGTCGAATTGTTGTTGATCGGGATTTGCCTTCCTGCCATCACCCCATGGTTCCCAACCGGAGCGTGTTGTAAGCACATTTTGCGGCCAGGTGTAGCGTAGTCTAGAGCTTGTTTTGCCCGCTGGCCGCGCTGGCCGATCCCCGTGAACACTCTGCCGTGCCGGCCGTTGTTATTCATGTAACCTAAATATGACCGCTTCATATCGGCTTTTTCTCTTACCTTGGACTTACTTGGTGAGGGGGAAATACAAGGATCGTCAAGTTGCTGGCGAGTATGGATAGGAGGACCAGCGGCACATCATGCACGAGATTGCTCATGTCGAGGGCATCGCTCGGTTATGTAGGCTTTAGGCAGTGTATCGGTGCTGTGCGTTGCTTGGGCGATTCTCCGGGTGGGGGTTGCCACAGAACATGGTATCACTTGCCGTAGATGAACGTTTTGTTTTGGGCAACCCTTGCGGCTTATTCCCTCTGTTAGGAATCAAGAGTAAATACAAAGTTTCTTGTGTAGACTAGAATGGAGCCCAAATTCCTGCAAGTATTTCCTGCATGTGAATTGCGGATTGCAACAAGAGGAGGGTTGGAGAGGGCACAAATAAATGCTGTGAGCACTGATTCGAAGGGAAGACGGAAAAAGAAAAAACTCAAGTTTGTTCTTGTGGCGGCGCTCTTTTCTACTGCGGCCCACTATCAATCGGGTTCTGTGGAAAGGGCGACGAACAATGATGACCGATGTTGAAGGGCGACTCGATTGAGTATTTTGTTGTTCATCCATTTGTCTGTTGTTCGTATTGAAAGTCGCTCAAATTCCTCACTACGCTACGGCCTTGCCTCATGTGCAATAGCTCCAGAGTTCAAATCCGGGGTCGATTTGAAGGGTTTGTCAAAGTGGGAAGGAAGTCCTCCGTCCTGAGGAGCTGAGGAGTACGCGCAAAAACAAGCGTTCACTGCGTAGTGGAACTATGAATCCACAGCACCTCGCTGAGAATCGAAAGCTCCGAATGTGTACAGGCAGGTATCGCACAGCAGATACTGCAGCAACGTCGAACTAACTCCTACAAGTACTCATCCCACTGAAGCAACTTCGTGGAACGTTGATACTTCTGTTTTGTACAGCACCGCTTTGTATGGACATCGTACAGTAGTTTACATGCACATGACCAGGGGCGGCATTCGTCATCTGTTTGATCCTTTAAAACCGAAGTCAATATTACTTCGCCGCCGCCGTGCAAGGCTGTGTTCTAGTTTTAATCACCACTCTATCGGCGGTCCAGCACACTGGAGAACCGGTGTGCAGCAAACGAACTTGCCGCCATGCCGCCACTACTGCTGCTGTACTGTGTACCTTTTTTCGTCCATGTAGCGGGCTCATACAAATCTAGACTAAATTACATGTGCATAGACTAAACTTGAAACTGTCATTTGAGGACACCGCAATATTCAGCACAAGACCCAGGGCCGTCAGCGAAAACCCGCCGCATGTCTTATCGACGTAGCTTGCACTCGGCGGCCCTGAAGGTTGTGCATGTGTTTACGTTGTGAGAGGGTGAAGCTACAGCCCATTCATGTGCACAGCTTCCCGTAACTCCGACTGTGGTGTGCGGACACTTGAAGCCTTTGATCGACCCACGGTCGTTGTCGGCGGCGCTATTGAGCAACACGCCGACATCATCGTAGGGGGTGCTTGAAGAGTCCAGCGGCGGTCGGGCTGTGTGTCAAGGTGTTCATTCGAAGGGGCCGACGCTCGGAGGTGTCGGCATGGGTGGTGCAGCATCGGTGCAAAAGAGCGGAACCGCAGATAGATCGGAGTTCGCCAGCTATCGCGATGATTTTCACAAGGTGCGGTCAGTAGTATTGTCGCCGTAAGCAACATGTTCATATTCAAGCGCGCAATGAGGGCCATTTTCACGCGTCTGTTGGGTGTAGGGAGGAGGAGTCGACTTAAGTCGGAAATACTTTGGTTCACCGTGACGTATGTAGTACGTAGACCTATTGTGTTGCTTGAACTTCAAAATTCAATCGATCCGGGCAGGTGATGTGAAATGGTATGAAGACTACAGTAGGTGATGTATCGAAGCACGTTACAGCGGTCCTTATACCACTCGTAGCATACGCTACCGCCACTCCGCCATCGTGCACGGCTCGAAAGTTGGCCTCTCAATGAAGATCGGCACTACAGACTTCTCGTGCAGTAGACTAGCTGTTTCCTTGTCAATAGTCTGCAATGATCTGCACTGCGATGCTCTACAGTACAAGGACTACTGTATCCCTCATTGAAGGTGTATATACATAGCGTCACTCCCCCTGTGAGGACCCGTGTTCATCACGTGGCCGTCCGGCCAACACGAGTGAACCTGTGTGCGGGTAATTGCGGATAACCAAAACATTGCAAGTGCTGTTTTCCGTACGTAAGGCCCAATAAGCACTTATGATATCTCCAATGCAGGCCAAAGGCGCGGGTGTCACCAATCGTGAGATTTTCGACAAGATGTCGAGGGCCCGCGTCGCTCTGCCCGACGACGGCGACGACGACAAAGCACGACAGCCGAAGAAAGAGCCCAACCGCCAGATTAGGGCAGGCAGTCACCAGCACATTCAACACCAAGGTGCGTTGCCATAGTTTACGCTGTGCGGCAGGCTTCGACCAAATCAACGATTGGCAGGTAACCATAGTTGTTCTGCCGGAGCGTGCCTGCTTCGCAGCACGCCAACCCGAATCCGAGCAGTAACGTTTCTTGTCACACAGCCCAGGCATCCTGGCCAAACACCTCTGCGTGGTACTTGTATTGCTGCAGCACGATGAATGGTGGCAAGCCTTAGAACACACACAAGCCAGCAGTACCAGACCGAAACTCCAGCTTTGTCTCCCCAAGACAGAATCATTGAAGCTATACAATTGTATACTTCCTCTGTATCATAAGTCTGGTCTGTTATGTGCGCGTAGTCGTAAGGTACTTACACGTTGACGTTTAGCCTTTAGCCGGGTGCGTTAGAAAGGCAAAGCACATACCAAGCTGAATAAAAAAAACTAAAAGAATCGAAGACCGTGTTAGGCACTAAAATTAGGTCAATATGTGCCCATTTTGGCCCGTTTTGAGATTTTTTACGGGAACGTTTTTGAGATGTTTTTTGAAAATTCTATGAGAATTCTTGAGAGAAGTCGTGATTACCACCCCACACACACTATGCAAACGATGGAAAACCCTAACCCTAACCCTTATTCGACAAGGAGGCTTTCGAGAGGGCTCACGCCTGGATGGCATCGAGTCCCAGCGACGGCGAGGACGACTAGTCGACATTTTCCCCCCGGACACCAACAGACACTTTTTTTTTACCCGCAAGTGTCTTGGCTATAGTGTGGGCTCCCCAAGTGTCTTGGTTTTAATGTGGAACCTCAAGTGTCTTAGTTTTGGTGTGGGGTCACTACTATACTGGTTTGAGCATAGGGGGACGCGACGTAGATCGTTGAGTAAAGGGGGGGGGGGGGTTCGGGCCCTACTCTGTTGGTTTTTTACCCTGCAATGTCTCGGTTTTAGTGTGGGATCCCCAAGTGTCTTGGTTTTAGTGTGGGACCCCAAAGTGTCTTGAATTTAGTGTGCGGGTCACTTTTATTTTTGTTTTAGTATGAGGGACGTGTTATGGATGGTTGAGTCTAGGCGGGGTTAGCTTTAGGGTTGGAGATAATTCTTGGGTTTTTTGGGGGGGTTTAAGCTAGTGCCCCACCTTCCCCCTGAAATGGGCAAAATATAGCCGTTATTGGGCCGACTCAATGTTTTCCGGCCGTTCAGCTACATGGTTCAAGCACCAGCTCTAAAAAAAACAACTTTTTCTTGCTAAAAAAACGCCGGAGAATTCAACAAAAAAACGAAAAACAGATCGGACACCGTTAAGGGGGCGCATAAACCTAACGGGCCAGACTACTTATGATACAGAGGAAGTATGTATGTTTGACTACAGTCATGACGGAGTGAAGCGTAAACATCCCCGGCGAAGGCAGACTGCTACAAAAGCTACAACCAAACTGGACATCGTATTAAAGCCAACCGGCTGCTGTACGACCATATGTCGAACTCTGTGCGGTAGGGAGCTCCATGTCCGCAAAGCTGGTGCCCGACAACCCACGAAGGAACTCAGTGCTCGGCATCACGTCGCACGACAACAAGAAGCACCGGAGGGATCAGATCTTCGAGGACGGCTTCGACTTCACCTTGGCCGATACCAGGAAGGAGATGGCCAAGCAGCAGGGGGGTTTCGACAAGACCAAGGTAAAGAGTTTGTGAAAGAAAATATAGGATGCACCAAAGAGAAGGGAGGAAGAGGGAAGGGACGGGATCCACGGGGCACTATCATCACCGAAAGGGACACCAGCGCAAGAGTTTCATTGTTGAGCCATGGAACTAACGCTTGGAGTTACGGCGAGGTGGGAGTACTTTCTTGGAACCGCATGTCGCAGCCGTACGAAGAGCGTTCGCTTCGCATCCCCGAAATGTCGGGACGTGGCTCCGCCCTTTTCTCATTCTCTGTTCTTGGTGATGGTATCGAGTTGTTCTTTTCGTCTTTCGCTGGAACCAACGTTGCATTGCACAGGAAGTGTTCCAAGACGGAAACGACAAGCTCATTCTGGAGGCACTGGTGAATTTCTTTTTCATTGGAGAGGAAAGCACCAACCAGGTAACAGGCAACGTCAAGCACGGGTAGCGGCAACATATTTTCCCAGTCAACCCTACGGTGGTTGTTGCTGTGGAAACTTTGAAACGTTCGCGTTGTTTAAAACAAGCCCCGCTATTGTGTAGCTCTGCTAAGAAATTATGGCGGTCAAGAACCTGCGCGTCTGTTGTTTAGAATATGCACGCGGAACAAGGCCAAATCGACGCTGCTTGGTTTTTGAAGGCGTGTGGTTTTTTGTGCTGCTTCTCGTAGCAACCTGGGATAGTGTGGTACGGATGGCTGTAGGTGGTTCATCTTGAAATCTCGTTCGAAGCCGGCCATCGTCCCCCACCTCTTCCTCAGCCAAAGTTTCCATCGAAGCGACCGCTTGGCGCCCCATTGTACCTCTCCCGCGGTAAAAACGTTAATGCCAGTATCGGAAGTTTCTGGTTGAGCCAGAAGTTTCGTGATTTTCTCTCTCTTGCTTGTCCACTTGATCCACGCAGATGAACTCCTTGATCGACACGATGGAGAAGAGCTCATGCCGCTCGGGAGAGTGGCTCATGCAGGAGGGAGAACCAGGCGACGCCATGTATGTCATCAAGACGGGAAAGCTAGAGGTCTACGTGGGAGGCACCCTGACCCGACATGTGGGCCCGGGCTGCGCTGTGGGCGAGCTGGCTCTGTTGTATCACACACCAAGAAGCGCCAGCGTGAAGGTGGGAAATTTTTCTAGGCCCGGTTCAGGGGTCTTGTGACCAGCAAAATGTACGAAGTGCTTTCACGGGACGCTTTGGAATGTGATCCTGGCGGTGTACATGTGGCGCAGATAAGGCGGTATAACTTACCATACAACGTTCTCTCTGGATCATTACGGACGGGTTGGTGATCTACGTTGAGATTCTCGTGCCTCTTTCTTCTCATGGGGACTACCCCCAGTTAACCGGCCTGCCCATATGCAAAGACGGGTACTGTTTATGCCCTGTTTCATTTCGCCAGGAATAGACAAGGTTGTTGCTGTTGGTGTTGTCGATCATGATGTTGATCGTGTTTGTGCGTTTCTTAGTGGCTTGCCCGTTCGCTGCTCCTTCCGACACAAATTCGATCATCCCTTTCTTTCCCTTTGTTCATTCCAGGCAGTGGAGGATTGCGAGTTGTTCACGCTTCAAAGGAGCAGGTTTCGCGAGATGCTGGCGTTATCTGTCAGCGCCTCCCTCGTTCAGCGTGTGGCGTGGATGCAGGCCACCCCCGAGTTGGTATGGCACGTTTGAACTTCGCGGGGTCATTCAGTTGGCATGATCGTTACGAAAGATGCACGAGCGTAACGAACACGGTATCCCCCCTTTTGGCGGGTGGTCAATCGTTTTCGGCGAATAGATTTTTACAATAAAAGCGCTGACGGTGCTGTCTTCACAGCGCCTCCTTCATCCTTGCTCATGATCGATGGACGACCACAGGATCCCCTGGACAAGCAGGCAGCATCTCGGTTGGCTGGAGCGTTCACGACGATACAACTTAGGGAGGGAGAAACCGTATCAACGGAGGGAGGCACTGTGGACCGGTGCTATCTGATAGAGTACGGCTCTGTCGAGGTACGGCAGGGTCAGATCATGCCATGTGGTTGCAACAGAGTTGTTTGCACACCAGGGACAGGATAATGTTTGAGGTAGGGCGGGGGTAGAGATAGCAGTACTGATTCGCTGTATCCAGAACCGGTACACTCACAATCTGGTGTTACAGGAAGGAGTGCTCTATATGTGAAATGACCAAGCGTATCTTCAAGAACCACGCGGGGAGATCGGCTACCCTTGGGCCCGGTCGCACAACCAGCATGCAGCAGTGGCCGGCAGGGATGGTGCCGTACACAATTAAACGATTTATTAGAGGTGTCTCGCGGTGGATGCCGGTGGCTTCACTCATGCAACTGTCTACGGGGGGGAGCAGGGAGCAGGGAAATCCAGGCGGACGGTGGCATTGGCCTACGTTAGGCTGCGCAACCAGACACGGTAACACGGCAAACCCCGGTCGATACCCGATACGGATTGTCCAACCCACGGGACCGCCGACCGTACCAGCCGGACTGGATTCCGCCCCTTCTTCCGATGGGACTGTCGAATACCCATGGAGTCAATCTTGGGCCTTGATGCCCCGCAAACGCCCACCAACAAACCCGCGATTACGAAAAATATGTACTGGAAACGCTTTCCGTCTAAAACACATGCTGTGGGCCGTGCATATCAGGTCAAGTCGTCGACGGTGGACTCGCCCGAGCTGATCCGCAAGCAACTGCGCCCGGCGGTTCCCAAGCCAGACACGCCACGCCCGGCCCCAAGGAGCAGTTCCAAGGGAGGGGGCTCCACGGCCGCGTCGGGGTCGATCCAGGAGACCCCGCCAGAGGGAGATGACATTTCGAACGCTGCGGCGGCGGCAGTGCTGGCTAGCGGTGGTGAGGAGAAGAAGAGCGCCGAGGAAGGTGGGCGGTACGAGGGACAGGCCAACGACGGCGATGACGGCGACCGAGCTGGGGAAGGAGCACGAACAACTCAGAGGTGAGAGAGAGAGAGAGAGAGAGAGAGAGAGAGAGAGAGAGAGAGAGAGGCGGACACCGTAAGGTGGGGCGGGGTTGGATGGGATGAGGAAGGCTATAAGTTCAGGTACGCAGTTCGAGGGGTTGATCGACCCCACCCTTGAAAAAATATCAAGTCATGCCCGGCGATGTCGGTCACAACGTTCTGGCCTACAACAACGTATCTGAACCGCCCTTTGGAGTGCACTACCCCCTCCCCCCCCAACATGGCGCTTCGGCACCACTCGTGGCCCTCGCGTATGCCTACACTGCTGTGGATTTCATGTGCTCATCATCTCGCCGCCCCACATGATGGAGGCAGCATCACTAACCTATCCTGGGATTCAGAAATATGAAATGTGAACCACCGCCGCACCCACCGTCCTCCGTCCGATACCTTCGAATACTGTTCGGACCCAGGAGCCTTGTTCTAGGCCCTGGAACGTTCCTAGGAATGCCGGTTCTGCTTTGCGCCGGAAAAGGGAAGAGAGGGGGTTGCTGGGCGCCCGTACCCGAAACTATCGATCTTGGAAAGGGCGGGGCAGGGGCTGGGGATGGAAATGCAGCATCGACTCAAGGGCTCAAGTTTGCGGGTGCCATATGCCCCGTGTCGATCACGGCGAAAGAGGTGGGGCGTGTGCTGTGCGATCTAGCGGGTGGTGTTTCCGAGCATCCGGCGTACTGATTATGTCTCTTTCAACAATGCAGTGATTGTTGGTTGGCACATCGGAGGAAACAAGTGTGCAAGAAGTCAGCATGGAACTCCAGAGCGCATATTTCCTATGTGTCTCCATGGTTTAAGATCGCTGGTCATTGCCATCTCCCATGACTGTAACTGAAACCGGAAAGAGGAGCAGACTGTGTCGCTGAAGTACACACTCGACACACGGCGCCCCTCCCGGTTGTTTCAATAGAAGCAAGCTCCACCGACCATATTACAGCTTGTTGGCACCATCGGCACACCTCCGCCGTTACGATTCTCAAAACACACAACACATACGCGAACGCCATCACCACGCCGACAGGACTTACGCTTGAGTTATTTCACGCCGAGTCAATTCGAGACGATCGTGGGTCCCATCAGAGAGATCTTCTCCCAGCTGTTGAGAGGCCGCCCCAGCCTCCTCAAGAAAGCCAAGAGTCAAAGGTGAGGTAGATTGGCTGATGGAAAGAGAAGGGTGGATACAAAAATCGGTCGGTTCAGCGAGAGGGATCGACGATGAGAGAGAGAGAGAGAGAGAGAGAGAGAGAGAGAGATGCTGAGGCGGCACACTAGTCGCGTTCATCTACAAGAACAAATAATAGGTAGGGCAACGACTCTAGTGCATGCAAGAGTTACCATGCTTAGGTGAGGATGGGTTAGTGTGCATGATACATCAACCGTTGACCGACATGCTGCAAATTTCATCAATGTTGTGCGAGAAAAGATTTTTCAGTACCTGTTCCGTGAAACCCGTGTGTGTGCATGAACTAGTAGTTTCTGTGTAACGTCAAGCCAACCTCTTCCCTTCTTTTCAATAGTAATGTTTTCCCACGAACCCGCCAACTATTGTCTTTTTGAAGCTATGACACCCACCGCATGTGCACCTCCTCCCGATTCCCATCCCCGTGTCAATGCTTGCTTGCCGGGCGGAAGGTTCATCGGCAAGGCCTTGGACGACCGGTTCCTTCCGGAAGACTTCAAGACGGAGGTGTTCCTAGGCACCGGCAGTTTCGGACGGGTAACCCTTGTCACCTTCAAGGACAAGTGAGTCACTCACGCCTTGCGAGTCGGTAGCCTAATGTCAAGGAGGTCGTCTCTCGCTGGTTAAAATATGATGGGATTTGGAGTGTTAGGTTGATCAGGCAAGCACTTTCGTATAGAGACAAAGAGCAACAGCAGCAACAACAACGGCAACGACAGCACATTGGCAACATGAGCATAATCCCCGCCACCACGCACATAGTCGACTGTCTAGCGAGTCGAGAACCGTAGGTTGCACGACATACCACACCCCCGGAACGATTGTCAAAGCCCGATTACTCCACGAGGACGAAGGGTGTCGAAATCAAACGATGCGTTTTGGAAACGTGTCGCCGAGACTGTTCCAACCCCGTTATGGTCGGTGCCCTCACTGATTTTCCTGCCGAGTACTCTGAAAATTGGTCCAGAGGGTGTGACATCTCGTGCAAACTACGGTAGCAAGCGGACAGGGTTGTTGGGGCCATGGTATCAACCATGTAGACTTCACGAAGAGGCCAGGAAATCACTCTGCATCGTGAAGTGTGTAAAATCGATCGATCAACGCACCTCATACGCCCCTACCACATATTCTGCGTCACCGCCAGCACCGTAATGTTCAAGGCTGTTCCGATTTCTTCCCCACCAATAACCACGTTAGCCGTACCTTCTCCTCCTTGTCAAGAACAACAGTAAAACAAAATACCCTTTTGCCCATCCATGCTCAAGATGAGAGTTTGCTGGCCTGCCTCCCGTACGCTACTTTGGCCGTGTTCTGCCCTCCGTCCTCACAGTCTCAGACAATGTTATGTTCTACTGTAGCTCCGCTCCGCCGTCCAAGCTGTTACTAGTGCTGCTGTCGTCGTTGCTGCTGTTTCTATCTGGTGCACATAAAGAACAGTTCTGACCTCGATCCGATGCGTCATCGTCCTGCGCTTCAAGGTAACATGGCAATTTTCGGTCGACATAAGATGACCCAGAACAGGGGGTCATAATCTCGAATGATAACTGAAGTCATATTCTCCGTCCACCATGTGCCTTTGATTTCTCCCCTTGCCAGAGCAAAGCAGGAGGAAGCAGATCTCGGGGAAATCGAGCACTTCGCCCTCAAGGCCCTCTCCAAGAAGGCCGTCGTGGATAGGGGCCAGCTGGCGCACGTGAAGGATGAGAAGCTGCTGTTGCAGAATATGACTCACCCCCTGATCCTCGGGCTTTATTCCACCTTCCAGGTGACCAATATTGATGACTGATTCGATACTCATGTATGAAGTAGTCTCCATGTGGTATACGTACAATATTGCATATCCGTGCAGTGATGCTGTTGTCGTATTAGGTGGGCTTTCAGTGCTGACAAAACACTATATTCGCTGACTGGTACTGTAGTCATTGAATGTTGTTTGCCCGGTGTTGCTTGTTGTGTGGATATCATTATCATTCGTCCCTCGCCGTCTAGACTATATGCAGTGTTGGGTATCTTCGCGACGCGAGCCCCCTTCAACTCGCCGAAAAACGGAACATTCCACTCTCTCCAGAGAGTATGTAGACTAGGTCTTTAGCAAACCAAGATTATACACAGGTGTACATGCGCCGGGTGTTGGTTTGCCATGTTTCAACGAGTCTTCACGCCACGAGGACTCAGAGAACCCACACCAAAATAATTTCTCTCGATTCTTATCCCCCTGCTTCCCCTTCGCGACGACGTTGTCAATACACAACGGCAAGACCAAGGACTGGACTGAGACCTGATGCACTAGCCAACGATGAGCGCCGGGTGAATGGTTGTTCAATACGTTGATACCAGGAACGCATAGATAAGGAACGAGTCGAAGATTGCCAAAGATTGCAACACGAGACTTCGCAAAAAGAGAAAACAGCTCTCGCCCTTGTGTCTCACAACCCTGACAGGACGCGAACAGCATTTATTTCCTCATGGAGGCAGTAACGGCCGGGGAGATGTGGTCCATAATCTACGAGGGGGTCAGCGGTTTCGCCGAGGGAGACCTTCCGATCGAACACGGAAGGTATGCCTGTGTGTGCCTAAACGGACGCCTCGTACAGTAAGAAGTGATTGAAAGTCGCGTGCTAGGCTAGCCGAGCTCTTTGCTATTCACTGGAGTGCACACTCTTTAGATCTTCTGATGGCTTTATTTAGCATTTTTGTGACCACGGGCCGAGTCTTTGCTAGATTTTGGGATTAGCAACTGACACGAGTTTAATGTGAAGAAAAACAACAACAACACTCTCGTCAGGAACAGCTGGGTGCTGTGGTGCGTTGTAGCAAGTAAACCTTCTGGTAAAATTTACCGAAACCTACAAGGGAGGATGGTATCGCGTTCGCAGACTCTTGGCTAGACGCCGAAAAGAATGAGAAGATAACACCTGCACAGACCATGAATTGCATACTCTCTTTTACAGCAAAGCACAACGAGATGAGGTGCGTCACTCGCAGCCACCCTGCGTAGTTCGTGTCAACTTAGCTCTGCGGAAGACATTGTGCCCAGTAGCTGGACGTGGCAGAAGTGGCGGATTAGCTTGGATTGAGCACGCAAGTATCGACTATAGACGTGCCAAATTTCGATTCCAGAGGAACAGCGGAAAACATGGTAACATTTTCCTAGAGGAGCGTTAGGCCCAAGCTATGGGTTTTCGATGACACCCCTAAAGCTCTTGAAAGACGGGGGGCGAAACGGATCCGCGATACCAAAGTGAGGTAATGTCGCACAAAAAACCTGACCTGCTGGTATTCCTTACGTACCCCAACGTTGAGCGGGAGGTCATATGCGGCTCTTCGAGTCGTTGTTTTTTTTTTCCGGAGACAAGGCAGGCTACAGAAAACGCAGAACACCTGAAACTCTTTACCATAATGCCGTGTTTCGAACGCAGCAGTCAATTTCCAAACGCTCGATCAAATCAGAGCGCGAACAAGCAGATGCTCAAGTCGTGGTAACCTTCATTCTATTGCAACCTTGGGATCGTGCCACCGGACGGAACGCAGATTTTACGCCGCGTGCGTTCTGGAGGCATTATCGTACATGCACGCCAGGGGGGTCGCCTACAGGGATCTCAAGGTGATTTGTTGGAAGGGCAGGGCAGAGGAATGTGATCCAGAACTGCGACTTCAGTGTTATTGGAATCGGCGTACGTGTATGTTTTACCGTAACAATCCACCCCGATGCTTGTGGGTTGTGTCCAAGAGCCTCCGCGAACGTGACTTCCTCCTACCAACATGTTTTTGCGAACAACTGTACTCCGTTCGTACTGACGTCAACGTGGGAGAAGTTGCCGTCAGACAATTCGAATTCCTGTGGAGTTGGATTCAGACCCTCCTTCAAATTTGGTGATCAATACCCGTTCACGCAAAGCACCATAACGATCTCTCTTTCTGTCCTGCTGGGACTTGTTCTCATACAACGTGTGTTCCTGAATATCAGCCGGAAAATATCATGGTCGACGGACAGGGGTATCCGCGGCTGATCGACCTAGGCTTTGCCAAGAAGATCCCTTTCACGATCATAGTCGACGGGAAGCCAGAGGTGCACCCGAAGTCATTTACCATGTGCGGGACCCCAGAATACCTTGCGCCCGAGTTTATCTTCAACGCTGGACACGACAAGTGAGCAAGTCCCTAGTCCCTTGATTCCGTTGTTGTTTTGTTGCCGAAGATCTTGCTTTCAACATCCCATTGTAGACCAAGAAAATGACCGCTAGCGCACCAACGTAGTCCTGACGAAGTTGTTGTGCATGGCGGTATACGTGATTTCGACGAATCTCCGGCGCTGCATTGATCCCGTTGTACTCGCGAAGGCACTCGTGAGCTCCTTCCCACCGTGTCATGCAGCAACATTTGTCCTACCCATCTCTGCACGTGAGCGGTCTTACTCCAACGCCGTCAAATTTAACAACACTCTAGCGGCCATCCTCTCATCCCCACGCTCGCGAGAACGCCCCTACGAGGTTTGTCGATGCGAGCTGACCCGTGCTCGTTCCCGTTGTTCCGCCCGCCTGGACGTGGTTCAAACAAGCTACATATTATAGATTGTATTACACACGACAATAGTCTTGGTTGGACAGCATGTCGAGGCTTTGTGAGGTACTTGCACCTCTAGCGGGTGCCAGACGGGGAACCTGGCGTGAACATCGGAACATAACTTATGGTCTCCAAAGCGTTGCCGCAGAAGAATCGTATCAGTATCAGAACGTGCGAGAGTGCGATCGAACTATTGGGGCACCCGGTAGATCGGAGAACATGACCCTGACTTTGCAACCATGGGGTGTAACGATGACACAACAAGCTTGAGCTTGTTGAACCCTCAACCCCCTCCCCTCTCCGTGCGCTAAAAAAAGGTCGGTGGATTGCTGGGCACTGGGTGTGTTGACGTTCGAGTACACGGCAGGGTACACCCCCTTTCAGTCCCCTGGGGAGCCGACGGACATCACGGCCCTCTTCACAAGGATCGCCGGTTCCAAAGTGGCCACCTCTAAAAGCGTGTTTCCCCCCAACTACGATACAAAGGTGCGGCGAAACTGGTACCATTCAGCACGAAACACTTGTCACTTTCGACGAACCCACGGCCAACTATCGAACAGTGTGCAGACCCGTCGTTCAGGGAAGGGTTGATCTCGAATGCATGTTCATCTCAGGTCAGTGTTTGTCTATCAAGACCCGACACGGGTGTTGAACGAGAGTTATGCCTTCTAGGGGGATCTGTTTCCTAGAGGAAAGGTCTAGTGCCTAGGTTGAAGGAACCCATCCAGGGCGATGCGTCCCGTTGGCTCTCAAGTGACCACACGCACGTCCATTGACCACGCCAACCATGTGATGCAAACTAGCTCTTTCGGTCAGGAGGCGTTTCGCTCTAAATTCGTAGGACGCAGCAAGTTCCGAAAAAAATACACGACGTGAGAGTTGTATACGACGACGGTGGTGGTACTGATATTTACCGTAAGAATTGCCTCTTCGTTTTCCCGAATGGGTTGGTGCGCGAGTACTGCTGCCAAAAGTCTTGACGACGAGTGTGGAACATCTTCGGTAAAAGTTCTCATGCCAAGTGTAACAACAGCAAGCGGCAATGATCGATGCCACGTCGACAAGCAATATCAACACCCTCTCCCGGGAACCGCATCTTTCGAAGGAGCTCCGATGAGACAATGCCCACATCATTCAAGTCGCTGGAATTATCCATTCACATGTATGTATTGATCAATCAACACTTGAAAGGCACGTTGTGGGCGTACATCCCCAGAACTGTCTGTGCAAACGATATGTTTCACAGAAAGGCACAATTCTCGCTGCCTCCCTACGGCATGTCACGTCTATCCCGCAGGCCGGAAATGAACACTCTCGGGACATAGTTTCGAGGTTCCTCCAGGCAGATCCGTCACAGAGGCTAGGGAACCTTGCCGGCGGGATAGACGAGGCGAGAAAACACCCTTACTTCGCCGAGATTGACTGGAATGCTTTGGCGCACAAGAGGATGCCGGTAAGTGGAGGAGTTTCTACGAACAAGCGAGTGGCGTGGTTTCGTGGATGATTCTGTTTAGGCGGATTGTTGACAATCGGTCGCTTGAGGCATCGTCCACAGACCTCGAGCTCGCGCCACCGCGTCGTTCCTTGCGCATGCAACCAGCAGACACGTTGCTGCCACCTCCCTTCGAACGTATTCCAACCAACCAGGCTCCATGGAAACCTCCGCACAGTCTTGCCCCTCCTGCGGTGGACGAGGGAAACCACAAGGATGTCCCCGTCTTCACGGGGGACAACTCTATCTTTGCCAACTGGTGAAAAAGAGAGCGATGAATACGCACGCCGTGGTCGACGGGGATGTGCGAATGTTCGGCGGCTGGAGCAGACGCGAACCGTTTTCAACCACGCGGACGCCAGATAACGTGTGCGTGTGGACTCGCCAAGTGGTGAACGTCGCACAAAACTAGGGGTGTTTTCTTTTGGATCATTTAGGGGAATCACCTTGAGAAGCTTTAGGGCCATGGCGCGCGTATTGCTAGATTGCTCCCCGTGTGTGTCGGTTGATGTGTATCCCTTTGCCGTCTATAGCGTACTTTTGACGGGAACCTTAAGGGAGGGCCTCGCAAATAAATGAAGGGTTCCGATTGCGCGGGTTGTGGATCTTCGTGGGGGTACGAATACTACTCCTGTAGACAGTGACAGAAAAGGAGGGTTGTACAGGCAGCGATGCGTATTGGACACACAGCTTGAGAACTGGTAGAGCAAAGTGCTTGATTGAGAGATGCTCATGCGTCACGCTCGGGTGCCGAGGGACATCAATCGATTCACGAAAAGCACCGTACATGTAGGATGAGTTTTAGAACAGCCACACATTTCATGTTCGTGGACTAAATATTTGGAGAGCTCACGATTATTCCGCGAAATAGAATACTGTAGTAGATAACTACTGTGAGGGTGTGCTTACCTTCAATATTTATTCAATAGCCGATGCTAGGGAAGGACCGAGGTCGCATATTTTCAGCCCGCCGCCGTCCGAGGCTTGGTTAATGCAAGTTTCGTCTACAATTGTAGGTGCCTTGCGGCTGGCGTAGACCAATACAAAACACGGTGGTGGAGGGTGTACCTAAACCGAACGTTGCATGCGTGGGAAGCGCTGTACAATGTGTCCGACAAAAACGAAACCACCGCAGTTATCACGCCAATCTTCTGCGTTGCTGAGAAAACTCCGTGAAGGCCAACCGGAGGTAAGGACGTTTAAACTCAACGTCATTAATATATGTATTCGTTTCTCATTCCCGCAAATCCCGGATTGTGCAGGGTTAAGCCTCGCAGAGAGGGTCTAACCTGGTCTTTCCCGTCCAGCTCAGCCCAATTTTGATCGATAGAGCAAACACATGGTAAGATAGATGGCATGTAGCTTCTGTCCCGTTGACACCCCTTCGCGGCAGACGCTTTCGGTGGCGGCGTTCATACGTTCGGGGCGTCGTTGGCTCGCGACAAGCTTGTTTCCTGACCATCTGCCTGCCAAACGAGACGAAGGCGTTCATGGCACCTTCATACAGCTTTCGGGTTTACTTTTGTCGCCTTGCCATGACAACCCAGGGCCATTGATCGTGTGTGAATCCACGCCAATGTACCCCTAACCCTGACTCCCACAACCTCGCCGAAACGTCGGTTCGATACCATATGGTGGAGGGCGATCAAGAGAACTTGCAAGCAGTGCCGTGAAAACACTAAATACCCTCTCGCACAGAGAGTAGGGGCAAACACCGTTGTGTATCCGCATCGCGATCTTCGGAATCAAGTTTGCTACAGTAGATGGATAAAAATATATCTCATACCCTTTACACTGCACGCGAACGATCTCAATCCCATCCATCGCTGCATCAAAGCAGAACGACCGTTACTACAATCCAATCATTGGTCATCCTCGTTACTCCGACCTGTTATTGGCTCCGTATAGGCCTGTGGACTACAGCTCCAAGGATTTTGTGAATATTTCTATGTGCCTCAAAATCGAAATGCGAACATCTGTTTAACCTAAATATTAATGATCCGTGGCCCAAACACAGCACAACGAAAAGAAGTCCGTTCCCTCCATATTTCTCCTGAAATACCCCACAATGTGTACATCTGGGCAGACTATCTTCAGTCAAAAACAGTCGTCAGTCAGTCAAGTCTCAATCCTGTCGACGGGGGTCCGCCGTGCAAAACATCTGTCATCTGGCAATGCTGCATGTTGCTGAGAGGCGCGCACACCACGACGATGTTTTCTCGTGCTAAAAAGGACATGTGAGCGAGTGGTTTGAACCACAATTTAAAATTTCCAGCAAAATCCTCCTGCCCGAACTTCCCCCTCCCCCGCATGCCCCCGTCTTCATTCGTTCCTCGCGGTCATAGAACCGCACTGACGAACTTACTGCGCAGGAAACGATACATGTAATTCTCAACGCCTGGTATGCAAGGTAAAGGCTTAGCTGTCGACAACATTAACACGGCGTTGGCTGAGTTCTTTCAATATCGGTCCTCCGCTTTATATTTCTTTTAGAACGTAGATGACACCCTACAAAAACAAATGATCTCATCTACAGAAACTCCCGCATGGGTCCACCTGTGCCATGAGGTTCACAAAACTTCGAAAGCCGGCCTGATCTAAAACACGAATTCCGCCTCGTTCAAAGACGACGCATCCAGCGATGGGTTTGTCGCACAGGTTGACCCAAACGACAAATGCTGCAGGGAGGCCGGCCACACAATAGCGGCGATGGGTTGGGTGAACCAAGAAGCGAACGACAGCTGCTGCAGGGAGGACGGCCACGAGACTCTGGCGATGGGCTGGTTGAATCTTGACCCGAACGATAACCGCTGCAAGGAGGCCGGCCACACGACTTCAGTGATGGGTTGGTTGAAGTCACGACCGAACGTTAGATCCTTCAACGAGACCGGCCACTTGACTCTGTGGATAGGTTGGTTGAAAGTTGACCAAAACACCAGCTGCTGCAGAGTGGCCGGCCAAACAACGGCCGCAATCGGTTGGTTGAACCAATACCCGAACGACAGTTGCTGCAGGGAACGCGGCCACAGGGCTCGGTCGATGGGCTGGTTGAAAAATGACCCGAACGATAACCGCTGCAGGGACGCCGGCCACACAACGGCGGCAACTAGTTGGTTGAAGTCACGACCGAACGATATTTCCTTCAAGGGGCGCGGCCACACGATTCCAGCTACTGGCTGGTTGAATCGAGCGCTGAACGATAACCGCCGCAGGGAGGCCGGCCACACGACTTCGGTGATGGGTTGGTTGAAGTCACGACCGAAGGACAAGTGCTGCAGGGACGCCGGCCACAAGATTCCGGCGATGGGCTGGTTGAATCGAGTGCCGAACGACAGCCGCTGCAAGGAGGCCGGCCACACGACTTCAGCAATCGGTTGGTTGAAAAAATCCCCAAAAGCAGCTGTTCGCAGGGAGGTCGGCCACGTGACCTCAGTGATGTCTTGGTTGAAATCACGACCAAACGAAATTTCTTGCAGGGAGCCCGGCCAAACGACGCTGACCACAGGCTGGTCGAACCGAGCGCCGAATGATATCTGTAGGAGCGATTCCCCCCACACAGCTCCAGCGATTGCCTGGTTGAAAGCATTTCCAAGCGTCACACTTTCCAAGGAAGCTGGCCACGACCCTGCGTTTGTAGCCGCTTCGAAGCCTGTGTCCAAAGCCAACCGTTTTAGCTTCTGGGGCCAAGCCACCGACACTAGGTCCGATGGCGACAAAGATTCCCTCAGCTGCAGAAACTCCAACTTTATCCACAGCTCCACAGCGACACCCTGCAGAAGGATTTCCGTAGGAAGCGCCCAAGTCAAACCAAGAGCCTGCCCGACCGGCACACGACTCGAGATGCGGGCCTTCGAGCTGCGTGCGTTTACCCTGGTTTGCATCCCACGGGTCTTCGAGCTGCGGGTGTGCGCCCTCGTTTGCATCGCACGGGTCTTCGAGCTGCGCGTGTGCGCCCTCGTTGGCATCGCACGCGGAGACCACAAGCTAGGAGGCGTATTGGCATCAACACGGACGTGTATCGTCGGGACTCTTCTGCACGCCCTGCAGGTCTCCAGCGACGCCAGCCGTAGCTCCAGCGTAGACGTGTACCAGCGCTTACCCCTACCTTCATATACTTGGCTTATGGCGATTACCAAGGCGTCAAAGCCCCGGCTTGCTCCTGACGACAGGCAATGGAATACGTAGCCAAGACATGACACAATATCGAGCGTGAGAGTTGAAGTGCGTGGAAAGCTGTCTCATTCAACCAACCGGACATCATGCGGAAAGAAAAACGTGGAGAGGACACCCTCGTTGGGTTCGCAAGTGTGTGAAAAGTCGTTCCTCTTTCGGTATCCTAACATGATGGCGACGTCGCTTAACCATGGCTGCTCCAGCGGTTTATTTCGACCTTTCCGCATGTATCTCCTATTGCAATACAACACAGCGCAAACGACAGAAAAATGTATATGGGGGAGCGGGTGATAGAGGACGGAAACTAGGAGTTTATTCGGGAAACAACCCCAAGGCCCCGTGCTGATTGGTCAACAACACCGGGTTCCGTTTTCCTGCGACTCAAGTGTAAAATCTCCCGACCTTGTTTCTCGAGTCGGCTTTTACCGTGTGCCATTTCGCTATTATGGATGCGATATGTCGGACCTCTCAACTCACCATTGTTGTGCGGAACAACACATAACATGGGCCCAGATCCAAATGAAGCCATCACCATGTTCCAACTCATCCATGGCCAAAAATCGAGCACAACAACATCACAACACTTAGGCCTCTTGACCTCGACAACCTCGACGGTGTTCCAACCACCTCGTCATGCCACCACAGAACCACACGAAACATCACCGTCGCGGCGTCCATGCCATGTGCATTTCGAGATCGAACATCCCCGTATGTGGGTCCAAAGCCCAAGTTTCCCTCTCTCACCCAAACACACACACGCATACACATACACACTTCGGTGGATCTACACGCACACATATCATACAGCCTACGTGTGGGCCAAACTATATGTCGGACTCACAAGTGAACCAGGTGTATGGGGATTAGTACGCAATGGACACTCCTCCGTGCTCGCTGCTGTATGCGGTAGTACTGTCGTACGTGGGCTCTCCCTGAAATCTTAAAAGCTGTACTGAGGTATTATATTTGAAGCTAAATTAGGCAGGCGTTTCCTGGGTCGCTGAAGAGGGGAGATGTGCACAACTGCCCACCCTTAAAACGACAAAAATGTGTACGGCAGGACGGGTTTCTGTGTTACATGCCGGATCGGAGCTGTTCAGCCAGCCAGCCAGTCGGACAGGCAATACTCCTACGTAGTTACATACGGGTAGAGACATTAGACCGATTCGGACTGGAAAATTGTCCAGAATTAAGCTTTCAGCTTTAGAGATAGCACACATTCCCTGGAACGTATTTGACAGTCCCGTCTTCTTTCTGAGAAAGTGGAGTTGAGATTTAGGAAAAATATTATAAGTTTGAAGGACCCTGAAAATTTCTTTCTCTCAGAATATTTCAGAATACTACCTCCTTACGCCAGGCACAGGCGCTGAACCCACCCTAGCCATCAACTAACCAACCAAATGGCTCCAGGCCCATCAAATATTATCCCAGAGTTACAGGCAGGAGAGGCGCTCGGGCTAGCACGCCCTCCCCGGGTTGAAACTTGAATTGATGTGACCTCACTGAGAACACCGCAAGTGTGCTGTAGAACGAGAGAAGCATCGGTACACTCCTGCTGCTGCTGCTGCAGGTGAACATGCGGGCAGGCAGGCACACAGTGGCCGCACACACACAAGGACAAGGACTGTCTTCGTGGCCCTGGTTCGGATGTTATTGTGCGAGACAAAAAGTTGCAAGCTCTCTCCTGCCCTCGATCACAGGATTCGTCTCACCATCATCAGCAAAGAAAAGCACATATGCCGCGCTCGAGATGGCACCCGGGCGCGTGGGGACTGTTTGTTGTGGTGTACGCAGCACCGATAGTTCTTAGGTTCATAGATCCCTTCACCGACATACCAGGGACAATGTCTGCGAAAGTCTCCAACGAACAGAGCAGTAGCTTCAAGTCTGGTAATCTGAGACTTTGGTATCCAGGAGTGTTCCCAGGAACGGTGCTACAATTCTGTGATGTAATTTCTAAAACATCTGAAAAGTCAAGCTCCAGTCTGTGTATTGTCGTGACGGCCACAAGTTGCGCGGATATCCGTAGCCTAGAATGTTACTCCTTGGGGCCACAACTTGTCAAACGACATGATGCCTTGTTGACCTGAATAACGATGGCAAGAGCACGTGCTCCTCCAGCAGGGAGGGTCGAGAATCGGTTCGCACCAAAGACCCAAAACGCCGCTCAGAGCCAGGAGGTCAAGGTTTGCTGCTGAATGCGTGAAGGTCTAGCAGCGCTGGGAACAGCTAACTTTCGGTATCTCCAATCGACAGGGTGGCGCATCTTGTGTTGTCTGCCCGTACACACTCTCCGTGGCTGTGATCATCTTGACCATCGCAACGCCCAAACGGTACAATTAATCCGCAATGAGTTGAGATTTTCTTCCAGTGCTGTGTAGCAGCTGCTGTGTAGCACGTAATCCCCCTCACCTTCACTGTCCATGCTACCCCGTTCTCTCTTTTGAGTGGAGACACCAAGCAAGAGGCGAGTTCCCCTATTAGATAGTCATAGTGTTGGATTCCCCTGTCGTGCGCGTGTAGGAGTGCCTCGTGGCTCGTACCCTCGTGCCTCGTGCCCTCGTGCCCCTGCTCGTGTCGGCTCGGGCACAACTCCGAACCAGGTTCCAAATTTTACCGAACCGGTACGCTTGATACATGTACATGTTTTGTACATGTATGTATCTACTAAATAAACGTCCGTCGGCTACATGTACATGTACTGTTTTGGCGTACTCACGTACTCACCGTCCGTAGCGTAGCAGTGGAGCAGAGAGGAGCAGGCGGAGCACAGGAGCCCCAGAGGAGTAAGGGCAAAGGAGGAAGAGTGCCACACAATTCTCGATTTCGTAGCACCTGTTAGTGAAGGTTGACCGACGGCCGCTGCAGGTGAGACTGGTCGGGTGGTACCTCTGTTGTACATGTCGTGCAGACTGTAGATAACTTGCAGCACCGGTAACTGTCACATGTGTTTTATGCTATTCCACCTCCCTTCACCGAGTCCACGACCTTTCGAAAGCCTCTCCTAATAATAAACCTAAAAGATCATGCGCGCTGATGCGCGGTCATGTTTGCTTGACGAGGTCACGAATAGCCCAACCCGCAGATGCTGCCCTGGACATTTAATACTAAACGGAATTGAGGTTTAGATGTACCGCTGTCGTTCAATTGGTAGCCTTGTACATCCTCTGACATAGGTTGTGGGCTCGATCCTCCCGGGAGCCGTATACACATGATGGGTTGTGAGAACGCGGCGGGGGGCGCCAGCACGGATTTACAACGCAAAACCGAGGTGAAAATTCCCCGGGAGCGTACATCTCTGTGTTTTGGGCGATTTTTTCCTCGCAGGTCTTCGCCGTCGGTATTGGCGACATCATATTTAACCCTCTAAGAACCCGATCTCCCATACTTCCGGCAGTTTTCGTAAACCTATCATGGGGCACCCATGGGCAGCCCATGAACTGCCCACAAAGTGCCCACCGTCGGTACTTCAACGTAGCACTTCGCCACCAGCATATCAACCTAGAACTTAGGCACCGGCCCATCAACCTAGAACTTGGCCAGCGCCAACTTAGCACGTATCGTGTGGGCTTGGGGTTAGGGTTAACATTAGGGTTGTTAGCCGTTACAATGCCCCTTCCAAAGCAGATAATCTATTTTTAGGAGTACCTTGGTTCCGGTTGATGGTCACTCATTGACGGTCCATGGGCCGGCCATGGGCTGCCCACGGGCTACCCACGGGCTTGCCCTTGAGCATTCCTCATGGGCAGCACATGGGCACTTCGGTGCCATGGGTGCCCAATGGGCGGTTGAGCAAAACAGTAGAAGTGTGGGAGACCCTTATCGAGAACCCAGTTCGTTTAAGGTTATGCATACAGATCCAGAAAATAATCGCATTCGCCCAATTGGGAGAGGCTGAACGATCCCGAGGGACGAAGGGCGACTTGGTTTTAGACAGGGCAGCGTCCCCAAATGCATGGGGAGACTTTCAATACTGAAGCCAAGTCCGCATTTTTTTCCAAGTCTAGGTTGTGCAGACTTCTCGATAAGGGGAAACGTGGCCTGAGAGATACTGTGTACAGCAAGTCAGAGGCCGAGGAGAGGAATCACACAGTATCTGTATCACACAACTGCCACCTCCCGGAGGTGACAGACGTATTGTAGACCTAGATTTCCCCCGTTCTTCTCGCACAGCGGATCCTAGTGCAGATTACAGTGCGGCAAACAGACAGTCGAGTGTTGTGCTCCCAAAGTTTCCACGTTTGGGCGTCCAGTACATTTAGGGTTAGCATGGGAAATATAGGGCCAATATAGCAGATGGTTTTCGTCAGTAGTGGCGACACGCTTGATAAGGGACACCGCGGGCGTACACATTTCTCGCCGTCTCGGCAACACACGACACACACACACAGCACCCAGCACACCCCACACAGAGCAGGCGGGGCTTGTGGGTCATATAAGCGACATGTCCGCGCTGCTGCGGGTGTGCAGGTACTGCTGTTCCTCGAGTTCACGGCAGCACAGGAATAGCAAAAATCGGGCAGCTAGGAGCCAAAAAGAAGCGGCAATTTTTTATCATGATAACCAGGCGCCACCCAACGCACAACAACAAGAGAGGCTGTGAAACTGGCGCAGTATGCTGCATCACTCTATGCTAGCTAGGGCGGGGTACCTTACAGTACTCTCTCTGCGATACAATGCTACTTGGCGTTTTGCACGAGCAGACCAGTCACAGCGCAACTCCGGTGTTTGTCGGCAGGAGGAGGTGGTGCTCAACGAGCAGTTGATGGAAACGTCTCAGTTTGAAGTAGAAGACTGGCAAAATCGATCGCATGACTGCAGCCTGATTGAATACTTGGAGTTCCCTCGTATGTGCTCGCAAGAGCTGTTGACCGCTTTCCCCCCTGGGCGAGACATAACCAATCCCCCAGGGGAGCAATCCCGCTTCGTGCCTCGTTATCTTAGCGGCAGCGTTTCCCACCAGTTTCGTTGTCTCTGGTACTTCCGATCCAGTTGCCGTCCACGTCTTTCCGGAGACTACTGAATGTCGATCCCTCACGTGTCGCAACCAAATGGGAGAAGGGGTCTCTGTTCTCGTCTCATGCTCCTCGTAGTCCCCGGCGCCACTCGGTATTGTATTGACATGAGAAACTGTCACACACCCGACAATTGTTGATTATTTTCGTTTGATTTTGGCTCTGCGCTGGTTGCTGTTCCCAGGGCAAACCCGGTGCCTCGATGCCTTCATCGTTGCCTTGAGCCAAGCATGTGCGGGAGGGGAGAAGCGATGGTGTACATCGACAATGGAGCTGCAGCTGACGTCGTTGGAAACTTGCAGGGCGTGCCGATCTACCTCGATCTTGCACGTCCATGAATATCACCAGACTCCGAGAGGTTTGTAGACGTTTGTGGTCGTCTGGCGAATCGCAGATGCGGCCGAGCACACGCAGCTCGCAGATGTGTATCTCGACCCGTGTGCCGGTCGTGCGGGCTCTTCGTTTGACGTGGGCGCTGCCCTTGACTCTGCTGCGGAGAGCCACCATCGAGCTGTGGACGTGGTCAGAATACCCGGAGCTGAGAAAAAAGTTTAGGCTAGCCAAATATTAGTGGTTTGGCCCCGGGACTGACATAGCTGGTGTTCAAGACAGGTTTGGGATTCCCAGAGGCAACGTGCCGTTTCCTGTGCACCTGAAACTTCTGACACTTGGATATGGTCTCAACCAGCCTATTGCCGGAGTCCTGTGGCCGGCATCCCTGCAACAGCTATTGTTCGGGCTGAAACTCAACCAACCTATTGCCGGCGTCGTGTGGCCAGCGTCCCTGCATCAGTGATTGGTCGGGAAAAAAACCAATCAACCAATCTCCAGAGTTATTGGCCGGCCTCTCTGCAAAGAAGCGTAGCACGTCGGACACGACGGGCAGAGTCTCCTGCTTAAGAGACAATTCATTGGTACCTTCGTTTGGTCCACTATCCGTTCCCTGCGCGTTGAATGCTTCGGTGTGAAGGTTGAGATGTAACAGTGAAAACAAATCGAACTTCCGTCACGTTGATACTCGATGGCACCGCGCTGGAGAAAAGTCAGTCTGCAGCCACCCCGGTGCTCGCTCGTATCACGGCAGCCGCTCTCCAGGCACACGGTATATCCCTCATCGGCCCTCTTCGCCGAGAACTGCGTTGTGTTCAACTTCGCCAACGTTTCGACACACAGTTCAAGCCAGTGCTGTACGCAACAGGCGTCGGGAAACATCTGCTTCGTGTGGATTGAGGTGATTGGCGTGCTTGCAGAGACTGTAAGAAGCCGAGCACGACAGAGCTGTAGGCGTTCCAAGGGAATACTTGCAGGTCAGAGGGTATCGGAGCTCACTACATTCACTCCCCATTCAAAGGAGTCATTCGGTTGCCTCCTCACACTGAGCAGGTCTCATAGCGTATCAATGTCGAGGCGCCGCTGAACGGAAGGCAGTCTTCTGCGCAACAGGAGACTTTCTTGCGCAGGCATCCCCGGTCGACAATACGAGAGTTCACCTTCCTCATCACTCAGTCTCTGTCTGTTCCATGATGGTTTTGAGACTTTACGCTCCAGGTTGAAAATGAAACGATGCGACACATGCATGGCTTAATTTATATATGTCAGGTGCTGACCTCCTCTGCCGGCCGAAGCGGTAGTACAGGTGGATGACGATGGGGTATTCGACAGAGGGAACGGTAACTATGGTTCGTGCAACGCTAGCTCCGCCACATTGTATGTGTTCGGCACGGGTTCTGATGTTCGTTTGTTTGTTGGAAGACGGGTCTCCGCTGCGTCGTGAGGGCAGCAGCCACATTGTCTCGCGCCTAAATTGCCAAGCCGTGTTCGTTTCGGTGCTGGGGTAGTCACAACTCGCAGCTTGGTCCCCGAAAACACTTTCAAAGTGCTTGGGGTCATTTTTTACCCAGTTGCGGGAGCGCAATAACTGAAGATTGTGCTTGAAAGCCCGACGTTGGATACTATGGGACAGTCATATGATTTCATACTTCTGTACGCGGGTTTGGATTCCCTGACAACTTGGAAGCCAACGAGAAATGATCACAGACACCGCAGATACCCCATAAAAGTGAACCTTCTGTAGAAACGAACTGACGCCTCTGTATTTTTCAGGAATCATGATCCCTAAGCCTCTGTAAACAATGGTTGGCTATTTTCAGTGTTTCACCGCCGGGGTCTTAATTTCTTTCTCCTGGCTTTTCGCACATGAAAAAATAATCCGCACCACCATAACACGGCACATCCGTCAACTCGCAGAGGTCTCCCCCTGATTTGGTTGAAAAAAGGCCCCGAGAGACAGAAGGCCGAAGACAGAGGGCCTGACGTATGGAACCACCTTGTCGTGCTACTCCCACGGGGCACATCTTCGGGCAAACCCACAGCTGTATGGACCTGTTGGCAATAAACAACACGTATAATTGGTGCGCTTTAGCCAGGACCATTCCCCAGATGAAAACACGTCCATTGCATTGCTGCCTGGCGGTCTACCGTCCTTCGTCCCACCATCTCCGCGAAGTCGGCACATCCAATTTGGCTCTTTCGCTTTGTGCTACCGCCCGAGGGGAGAGACATACAGTCAAAGAGTCACCGAGTCACAGACTGCAACAGCAACAGCCCCATTCATCGCCCGATTTTAATGCTACATAGCGCCGTACCGCTCCGCCAGCCCAAATCTATCTTTCAGGTGCATCAACTAGGCAAAGCAACCCACACGTCACCCCGCCAGATCCATGGGAAACGCGTGGGAGCAACCGTCGTCAAAGGCGAGCATCCGCCCAACCCGATTCGCGTTCGACATGCAGACAACGAATAAATGTACCAATAGGCTCCCTCCGAAACCCCACATGCGACGGTGTGTCCCCGCCCGTGTACCTGGTATCAGCTTCATGCAGCAAGACCAGGACCAGACTACTCTCAATATCGGCAAAAATGTTACAATCGATAACAGCTGAAAACTAACAATCGGCCTTGCCCTAGCCCTACCCCTCAACTAACATACGACAAACCAAGAACCTCTAGAACCGCGTCCCTGTTGTGTCAAGGGCGAAAGGGGTCATCGCACCCCATTTCTCAAACACGACCGCTTTCCAACCGTACGTTCTACCCCTGCCACTGCTCCTCCTCGTCCTCCTCTTCCTCCTCCTCGTCTTCCTCCCCTTGCTCGTGCCCGTCATCCTCTACAGACGCATCCATGCGGTCATCGTTCTTTTCTCTGTTCGCTTTCGCATTCGCCTTTCCACCACCGGCACCACCGGCACGAGTTCTCGACGTCTCGCGGTCCCTCCTCCTTTTCTTCGAGCCCTTTCTGCTTCCACCGCCCTTCTTGCGGGCACCATTGTCGGACCCCCGCAATCCCGTGTATCTGCCTCCCCGCTGGCACTCAACAACCGAGATCAAAGAGTCATCGTCGCTGCCACTATCGTCCCCTTGTCCGCCTTGCGTTGCCGCTGCTTGCTCGGTCTTCTTCTCACGGCGTGGTCGTGCGGCGGGCGTCGTGTTCCTGGCGGCCGCACCTGTGGCGGTTGCTGCTGCAACCTTGGCACGGCGAGAGGATCTACTGGCACTAGCCACCCGGGAGGTAAGCGATCCGATCCGGGCTGCCATTTCGAGCGCCTGTGCTTTCGACAAGGGGGCCCCGCCACCTCTCCCGGCAATGGAAGCGGTAGTTGCCAAAGATGATCCGGCTCCTCGCTGTGCTCCTCTTGAGAAGTGTGCTGCGACGAGGGATATCGTCCCGTGAGGTGATTGAGCCAACTGCCCTCGCCTATGCGCGACCTCCGCAGCCTCAAAAGAGTTCACCTACATAGCGAAGGCGGCACACGTGTGGAAAGATGGCGCGCGTGCCGGTCGCCTTGTTATGTGTGGGTGCGAACGATGGAGGCACGCAAAGGGACCAAGGGACCCGGTTGCAACGCGATAGAGATAGGTAAACGATTTGAGCGCTAGGTGTGATGGGAACAGGAGCGTTCGTTATTTTAGGTGCTGGCTTGTGACGTCCGGGTGTGTTAAAGCATGGTATCAGCCAGGGAGCACTCACAGACGTGCGTCAACGCGTGCTTGACAGAAGTAATATTGTGCATGAGGAACCCCCGTTGGGTTAGAGATGGTTTTCGTTCATTGCACCGACGCTGCTCTCCCTAGAGATTATTGCCAACCCCTTTGGACTCCGTGTCCTGAAGTAATGTGATCCACGCGACGGCAGTCAACTCACAAGGCCCAATGGAGATGTTCGTTAACACCCCCAGACGCAACACACAAGAGGGACTTGCACTCCAACAAACCTACTGCAGCCTCAGATCTACTAGGTATTGAATGTTATCCAGATGATGCTCCTCACCGTCGGCGGGACCAGAGACAAAAAGAAGGCCGCTTCCGAGTCCCCCGCCTCCGCTACTTTGCGCACGAGGGCGCTGCCGAGAGACTCTAGCCCCTGTCCCGGCGCCGCCTCGCGAGCCACGGCGACGAGGCGCTGCAACACTTTCCGCTTGACCGCTTCCTCGGCATCGAGAGTGAAGTACGTCTCGAAGAGGCACCTGGTTGTTTTGGTTATGGTTGTGGTTATGTTCTTTATTGTTGCTCTTGTTGGGGTTATTGCTAAGTGTTGGCCGCCGGGGATTTGGGTTATTGAGCGCTACAGAGACCAACGTTTGAACGGGCGACGAGGTTGTCTGGTACCAACCCCATGCACGCAAGGACGGCGGACTGCGAAATATATGTTAGTTTGCTAACAAAACCTCGACGGCCTAGACGGAACCTCTTCGGGCTGTATGGTCAAGACCACATCCTTGCCTTGAGTGGGCCTACCAGGCTACTTTTCCTAGATGAGGGTTTGGAATTATACAACCTACGGCGCACTTCCGCTGGGACAAACTTGTTATCTTCTTCGATTCCTCAGGCGATATGCCGGGGGTGGAATTACGAACGGTAGCCGCGTTGGGGATAATTTGGCCAACGCCGCGCATATGGAGTGACACGAGAGGCCACAAAGGAAATCCGAGGGTATTCTAATGCTTCGACATAGGCGTTTAGCCCGATTCCTCACGGCACACTCTACACCCGTCTCCGCATCGTGATGCAAAACGCCAGGTACCCTACACATGTGCAGGGTAGTGTATTATCGGCTACCTGCACACTGTGTCCGGGCGCGGCTGCAGATGGTCGATGAAGACCTTCTGTGCCGCCTGACGAACTCTCTCCGAAACATCCACCAGCAGCAGAGCAAACCGAGAAAGGTGTGCAGTTTTAATCCTGTATTCGTGTTCGTGCGGAAGGACCGTGTTTGAGTTGCGCCCACGAATGACAGCAAACCGCATGCAGTGTCGGGGGTGTCCTTCGGAAACACGGCATGTTGAGTAGATTTACCGTGATATAACTATTACTTCTATACGATATCTATCGCCATTTACGGGAGGCCTGTTGTGCACGGGAAACGAGTGCGGCGGGATGCGCCGGTGTTCACTTGTCCAAGCCCTGATTGTGAGAGGAAGCGGTTGGGTGTACCGCCCCAGAGAACAGGAAACCCTCGGGAACGTCCCGTTGCCTGACATTGGATCACAGTTTTTGTCCAATTGAAGACGCGGCATACTTCCATGCATGGAGTGAAACACCAAGATAGACTCACTATGGATGGGCGCACACCTGACCACACATGCCTTGGTAGCACCACACATGCGGCGTAACGCCTTGCCCAAAGCTCCAATTCACCTGCTCTCCTTGATGAGCTGACCTAGCCTGACGAGGACTTCCCGGCGAAGACAAGGGTTCTCGTCCTCGAGCAGGCTGCATGCGTGAGCGGCGATCTCGTCGGTGGCAAGCTCCCTCCTCGTCAGCACGCCAACCGCGGCGTTGCGAACCTTTCAAGGTGACACGGTGGAGCCAGGATGAGATATACGACGTTCGTGTACCTCCAACGAAATCCTCTCTAGACCTACCCGGACGTGTCGAAGCAACGTCTCTTAAAACCTATCTCTTAAAACCTACTGTAGTGGAACTCCAGAAATACGAACACGGCGCTTAATGCAAACCGCTTGTTTCGACCTGGCGCTACTTCCGGCGGGAGGTAGAGTTTTGACTTCGACTTGTGCAACGAGAATAGGAAAACAAATCTAGGTCAACGGTCACACCTGTGGGTGCTCCAGAGTGTCGCTGGCCAAGCGTTCCGCCAGCGGCAGCACCTCTGCCGCCGCGAGCCCAGCACTGAGCACGGCATACTCCGACAGTGCCCACAAGGCCTCCGTGCAAAGAGCCCGGGGACACGACGACGCGGGTAGAGAAACACCAGCAGCAGCGGTAGCCCCCCGATCTTGCCCTACATCCTCGCGGAAAACCGTCGCCTCTACCTTCCCGCCGTCCTGCTGGGCCATACGGTATTGCATTTCGTCTTGTGCATCACCCCTACTGCCAACTCTAGCTCCACCACAATCCCCGTCGGCAGCGCCACCGGCCGAAGCCGAACCATTCTCTCGAAGCTCGTCCTCCTCGCCGTCCTCCTCCCCCTCCTCTGCCGTCGTCGCCGCGCCCTTTTCCGCCGTGACACTCCTCGCCGCGGCCGTGTCGGCAACCCGGCGGCGCACGATTGCAAGGAGGAACGGCGTGTAGCACGACAACATCCCGTCCGATGTCACGCTTGACTCGCGGAGCCGACGGATCTCTCTCTCCTGCAATTGGCGTTCAATGTGTTTCGTTATTTTCTGCTTCACTCGGTGTGATACAGACTTCAATCGTTGTTCGTGGTCGTGGTTCCCCTGTTTATAGTATATGGTTGGAGTCCCAGTACGGGTAACATAACCGCGGTAAGTGAAACAGCCGCTGAATAGACCAAGCCTACCCTGTTGTGTTGTCGTCCGGCTTTTTCCGTGCCGTGAAGTAAAATTTGGCATGTTTTTATTAGTTCGGATTTTAGGTGCCAGATTGGCCAGCGCCAGCAGTGTTTTCAATCTTCGACCCAAACCGCTTGAAGGATGCAAAAACGCTATTTCACAACAGCAGGGAGTACAGAAAAACGATAAGTCAACATCGGCGTTACAAAGTGGCATTCTCATATTTGGTATTTGGCAAGGTTTCGGTAAATATGGTCTTGATATTCTAGAGCTGGATAACCTCTGTTTGTGTGCCCACCACATATTTCCAGATTCAAGAATGTCAGTATATCCCGAAGCACCGGTACACACAAGGTGATGTTGACGTATTTCGCGGACTGCCTTACGATGTGCCAAGGGAAGTGAATCACACACATACTAAATGCCGTTCACGACAGGCACATACCATGATTGTCGAGGAAATTCCCCATGCTTACCATGGCCTCCCTATTCGACACTCCCGCCATATAGTCATCTTCTCCGTTCTCCGCCGACTCTTCTTCCCCTGGTCGTGACAAGCATCTTGCGCTAGGTACGAAAAGGAAAAGACATGCAACCAGCGAGAGACAGGCATCACAGAACGAAATACTCGAAAATCGTGGTCTACGTTGTTCACTGCTCGCGTATCGTGCGACGTTGAAACGACACCGAGGTGAATCTAAAGCGCGCCGCCTCCGTTCACAAGTGGTTGTGGAAGGAACGCCACCGATATCCGAATTCCGGTTGCGTATCTGTACGAGGGGGGCATATTATCAAGCGGCACCAAATTCGATCGCATCAACACTCCTGCCATTGAGAGCCGGTCAGTCCCGTGGCGTTGTTGGCGACACATAGAGCTGTGTATATGTGGCAGTTGAAGTCATGCGATGGAGAAGTGAGTGAATTCCGCATCTCGTATCAAGTGCATCGCTCTCTTGTTCGTGAGTAGGACTGGGCGGCAGAACTACTGAACGCTCGTCACGATGAAAAAACAGACTGTTCAAGACAAGACGAAAAACAACGATGAACGAGGCGAGACACATGTGAGTAAGTTATTCTATGCAACCATGGCCAAAACCCATTTGTGTATGTACAACCGAAACAATCATCGCCGGCATGCCAGAGTGAATAATGTTCGCAATTTCGACGTTGTTCTCCACGCCTGCGGCGCTGCTGCATAGCAAGGACTCTTACAGACGGATATTGCTTGACACGTCTCGCTAGTAGAGTCGACCTGCAAGTAAAGGCGAAGAAAAACACTGTTGTGCACTGACAATTCAGCAACGAGGACAGTGAGTATGAATCCACAAAACGTACTCAGCAGTGGAAAACATACGTCTCGCTTGTTTCTGTGTGCTGTGAGAGACACCAAACGATGAGCAAAAGATCACACGAACACGCGTCAAGGCATTTGGCGGGCAGTAGCAAAGCCTCGCGTTTCAAGACTACGTTTCGGTCCATGGCATATACACCAGAAATGACAATAACCTTGGTCGGCATATTGTTCGAATCGTGTTTCTAGCTGGATGACATCATCCGAATCACATGAGAGTGAAACATAGGCCAGTGGCAGGTCTTAGCTCGAGGCGGGCGGGAGCTCCACTGGTTTGCGTACCGAAACAAACAGTACAGCCACGTCTGCAACCCCACTTGGTATGAAAAGGAAAAATTACCACTTGGTATGAATGGAACATATACCACTTGGTATGAAATGGAGTGAAAATTCATTGCTCTATACTCTACGCATTAATACTGGTAGTGACTACTATCGATTCTACAACCAAACGAATGGAAGAACATCAATGTCATGTTGTGTTGTAACAAATGCACTAAAGCCTTTCCATGTGGCAAGGGTACTCGCGGAAAACATCTCTGTACATGGTTGGGAATTTGGTGCGTCTGGGAAGACGTTTAACCCAACTTTTTGCACAACGCACGGAGCATGGACATACCCTATGTACGAATGACGTCATTTCCGCCGCCCGTTGCTGTTGGAGTAGCGGGAAACCGATGCGTCGATGGGCACAAACACCCAGCTAGCAACTTTCAATGCACATACTTCCAGCTGCTGAAATGTCTTTGGGACAAGAAAATGAGCGTACTCTACATCATGACCACCGTGGGCACCCGCGTGCTGCGTGAGTGCAGGTGCACAAGTCAAGTTAAAATGAAATACATACATGTCGGCCAGAAAACAATGTAAAGACGGCACGCGACGATGGCAGTCAGTCGCGTCACAAAGCCTCAACACGAGATCCTTGTCTCTCCGCGTGTCGATTTCACCCAAAATATTCAGTGCATAGTGCACCAATAGATTTTGGGGGCATAGGGGCAGATATAGGGTAACCCTCACGTCCTTCCCTTTTCGCACCTGTACTGCTCTCGAATGTGGGCGGCGATGAAGGAGGCGTTTTCTCTGGCCAGCACGCCGATCAGCCTCACGTAGTCGCAGGCCCTGCTCACGCAGACCAGCACCAAGAACGCAAATTAGTTGTGAACATCGATCGACCTCGACACAATCGGCCTACACATTACCCTGCTCGAAGCCAACCGAACCGATTGCGTTACTTGAGATTGGCGAGGCTCCCACTGACGCAAAAGGTTTCGCTCGAGAAATGCGAGAAAGACATGGAGCTCTTGCAGTTCTACGGTGTGCTAGCATCGGTGGTTTATGAAAATAATGTGGACAAAGCTGGTCTTCATATTTTCCAAACACGCGAGTGCGTGTTGCCAAATCAACACTCGAGAAAGTGTGACCAAACATGGCAATATCATCAAACGTTTTGTCACTGTCGCTCGTCCCATTACCCGACCCCTTCAACTGGTGGTATTTTTCGAGAATGGCGAGGAAATGTCGTCTTGTTGTTTATTTGGCTTCGCTTTTGCAATAATATTTCCACTACGGCATTATATTATCCCGGCGAAACACAACCATAGGTAAGACTTACCCCGTTTTCAAACTTTGGTCGAATTGTTCGCAAACGTTCACCGCTGTACGGTCGGCCGGAACCACCCCCCGGATTAGCATGGGCGCGAGGATACAAGAATATATACGGTGGGATTGAGTGAAACGGCCCCTCCGTCCATCCCGTACCTGCCCACATCAGTAGACGTTCTTGAAAACGCGGCATCTTGCAATATTGCCAGAGAGGACAGCAGTACACGGTGAGGCTCTTCCAGCGCCAAAGCCAGACCTACTGCCTGGCGGATGAGTCTTCCCAAGCACCAACGGGGTATAGGTCGGAAAACGACACACAACGCGACGAACGTTTGACAGGCGCGCGAGTGAGTGAAGTATTTGGGGCATCACAGCCCTCCCGAGTGAAACGAGAACACGGTTCACTCGTCTCCATAATGGGAGCTGTCGTCTGATCCGATGCTCGCATCACTTGTTAGAAAGGCTTACCCATTAGACTACTTAGTCAGCGCTGACTAAGTAGTCTAATGGGTAAGCCTTTCTAACAAAATATATACCCATCGGCTCGTTGCGACAGCGCTGGTCATGGAGACGAGTAGAACCCGTGTTCTCGTTTCACTGACGGGAGGGCTGTGATGCCCCAAATACTTCACTCACTCGCGCGCCTGTCAAACGTTCGTCGCGTTGTGTGTCGTTTTCCGACCTATACCCCGTTGGTGCTTGGGAAGACTCATCCGCCAGGCAGTAGGTCTGGCTTTGGCGCTGGAAGAGCCTCACCGTGTACTGCTGTCCTCTCTGGCAATATTGCAAGA